CCAAGAGAGACCAAGGTTGAATTGTATCTAATAATTACAGAGTTTGATCCACATGACAGTAGTATTCTGTAGATGCCTTACTATATAAAATGCCATCTGGTCAGGCCAGATTAGGCAGATTGAAGCAGAATCCCTCTCTGAGAGGTAGTGAACAACCTGGTTAGCTTCTATTATCCTCCAACACATGGCACACTCAGGGTGACAGTTCAGAGAATACCTCACACTCAGACATACACAGACACACACTGCACTGTTACAGACACAGAGACACACCACATTGCACTGTCACAGCCACACATGACACTGCACTGTCATAGATGACTGTAACAGAAATAGAGAGAGACACACACCTACATGCACATGATATCAATTCTGCCATAGAACATCATGAGAATTCTGGAACACCAAGAGAATTTTGCCATAGAATATCACTGGTGGAATTCTGTCACAGAACTTCGTACATAGAACCCACTGAGTCAATCCCAGTGTGAAGTGATGAGTCACTCTGACAGGGGCGGTGTGTTCAATAGGGCGATATGGGCGACGCACTGCCAAACGGGAAAAGGAAGGGATTTTTTTTCTAATCAATTATATCACGGCAACAGTAGTTATCAGTGTTGTAATCTAGACGTCTGATCTGCCACAGTGCCACTAAATGTCCAATCAGGCTAAAGTCGTGCTTCAAATGCCCCCCCCCCCCCCCCCCCCCTTTTGGGGCGATTTCAGTCAGGTTGAAAATCGCCCAGAAGTCTGTCATAGACTCCCATGTAAAATCTATTTTTTTCAAATATCAGAGCTTTCAATACAATCTCTATGGGTTTCTGAGGGCTTGCACTTACGCGCTTTCGTCATACGTAACATATAACCATGAACGTAACTAAGAAAAGAGCGGGTAGCAGCGTCAATCAATTCACTACTTCTATCAAAATGGCTAGGCTTCAGTGCAACTCGATTGTGTCTTTGAAAGAAGTTCCTTTTTGTCGGCGAACAAATGAAGATAAATTGGCAACGAAACAATTAGGACCTCCCAGACCAAATTTAATAATTCAACAGGTTTCTACTAAAGGGGGGAAGTCCTACACCCGAGGATTTTCCAAAAATTGGTACGAACGAAAAACCTGGCTAGCAGGCTGCGATGTAGCTAATGCAGTCTTCTGCTACCCCCTGCTTACTCTTTCACCCTGAAGGCGGCACGGCAGACAGCACCGCTTGGACAGCGACTGGTGTGTAACGGACATGCACCATCTTTCAGGAAAGATTAAGAAACATGAGCTGTCAAAGACCCACATGGATAGCTGTTTGAGATTGTCTGCTTTGGGGAGAGTGAACATTCCCACTCAACTGGATGAGGGATACAGGCTAGCTGTCCGCCGCCACAACGATGAGGTTAGTGTTGATAATCACAAGTTTACTGGAGAACTGAAACTGACAAGGCTGACAAGATAGGACCCTTTTGTCCATTGTTATTGGATAGGAACATAACTTATAACCAGCTCCTGACCTAAATAGATCTTAGCACAACATTTTACTCAACATATCATATTCCATATTCACTATAACAAATATATTTACTACGACATTAGCAAGAACCGCCACATCCTCAGCCGGCTAATCCAGTGTGTGAAGTTTTGCGGAGTGTTTGAGTTAGCTTTGCGAGGCAAAGATGAAACTGAGGGCTCCACCAACCCTGGTAAGCCAACACTTTTGAGATCAGTCAATAAATGCTTCTGGTATTGATTTATATGCTGCCCCTGTCTTCATGTTGTTGCTGGACATATCTTTTTTTAAATGTGTGTAGGTCATCTAAATCATCAGAAAAATTGCCCCCCCTGAGAATTTTTTCAGGAGCCGCCACTGCACTCTGATCTCCTTACATAATGAGAGATGAATACCTGGTTACATACTTACAGATGGTTTAGTGAGACAGTAGGTGACATTGACCTGTAAGCCAAATTCACAATCTGAGGCCTGTGTAGTATTTATAGGTCATGTGTTTGTTTTAGTCTTCTTTACCCTCCACCTTATAATAACAGACTGTTAGATCATGTCCTTAGATACAACTCTCACCCCGGGTCAGCCATACTGGTGATTGTGTGATATAATGAGTTTTTAGTATTTTACTAGGATCCCCTGCTAAAGCAGCAGCTACTCTTCCTGGGGTCCACACAAAACATGAAACATGACATAATACAGAACATTAATAGACAAGAACTGCTCAAGGACAGAACTACATAAATGTAAAATAAGAATATACGCTTTCATACACTTATACACATACTGTATACTCATAATCATCATCAATGTTAACAACTATACCATTCATTTTTCCCATGCATTTTCCAGTACATGCTCAACTTCTACAACTGTTTTCTCTAAGCCAGCCCTGATATCCTGATCTCACAGCACCAGTGTTCTGTAAACACCAGAGAGAATCTCACAACATCAGGAAGTTCCACGATACGATAACAGCAACCATCCCTGTCCTTGGTCCATGTGCCTTCAGCAGTCTGACACCAATATTATCAACAGATATGAACATTGAGTCTAAGATACTCAACTTAGCAACAACAGACACTGTCAGAATCATGTGTTTACCATCCGTGTCCTTGGTCCTTCCATCTGATGTCAATACTATGCATAATCATGTGATGCCTAGATACTGTTGAATGTAAACACAACATACAGTATGAAAACGAAATTGGAAATGCAATAATCATGTGGAGTCCCCCCTGCTTTGGTTTGAACATCTAAATGTGGCTTTATAACAAGATACATGAGATTGGCCTTAGGGGCACATTTGACACACTGGGACATTGTCCAGGAAAACAGCTCTAGGTGACCCACATCTAGCGCCACACACGGTAAACTTCCTTCAAGTTCCAAGAAAGATGTCAGCCTCAGTAGAACGTGACACTGATGCAGCGGATGTGTGGATCAGGATATGAACGAGAGAGGGACAGAGGGAGAAATAATAATGCTGAGCTAGTAAGAGCTAGATAGAGAGAGAGAATTACACAGACCCACAAAGAATTCGAAAACAAATCCAATTTTGATAAACTCCCATATCTATTCGTTGAAATACCCCAGTGTGCAATCACAGCAGCAAGATTTGTGACCTGTTGCCACAAGAAAAGGGCAACCAGTGAAGAACAAACACCATTGTAAATACAACCCATATTTATGTTTATTTATTTTCACTTTTGTACTTTAACTATTTGCACATTGTTACAACACTGTATATAGCCATAATATGACATTTGAAATGTCTCTATTCCTTTGGAACTTTTGTGAATGTAATGTTTACTGTTTATTTATTAGTGTTTTTATTTCACTTTTGTTTATTATCTATTTCACTTGCGTTGGCAATGTAAACATATGTTTCCCCATGCCAATAAAGCCCATTGAATTGAATTGACTAAGAAACAGACAGAGGCAGAAAGAGCAAGATAAGAACAGAGAGACAGACTGAGAGGGACTGCCTTCTGTCAATCTCCTTAATAATATATGTTCTGCGTCAGTCAGTCTTAAAGTAGGACTGAGGAAGTGAACAGAGACAAACCGCTTTACAGCTCAGATACAAGGTGCCAGGGCACCGGCTCACAAGACCAGACAATCAACCACCTATACTAGTAGGCCAACACCTCAATAGAGGTAGACCTAATGACCAAGAACCACAAACCCAGTTTCACATCTATTCCCACTGTAGTTACCAAATGGACCAATTCACGAGCAGCTTCTGTTCTGCAGTCAGGCCAATAGAATCAGGCAGAATGAAGCTACCCAATTCACCAGCACAGTCAATAGTGGCCAACAAAATAGTTCTGCGAATTGTACTTCTCTCTTTAACCAGTTGTTGGCCTTCTTACCCTATTTTTATGAACCTACCTGTGTTTATTTAATATACCCATGTGTGTAGTCTTGACATAAACTCTAGACATCTATTCTGTTCTGCTTGTTGCATTCCACTGCACTGATTATCGTCATACAACTGCCACCTGTTGGTTAGTGGTAGCTATTGCAACCCAATTAAACTGACACCCAGCTATATGTTAAACCCTAACCCTAGCCACAACCACAACCTTAACACTCCTAACACTAACCCTAATCCTAAACCATTTTGGCATAACCATAACTCTAATCTTGGCATAATGAATCACTTTTTTACCATGGATTTCCCTCAAGGAATTACCTCCAGAGGGTAGCACAGGGAAATGGGATCCCTTCCCTAGCCTTGCGTAACCCCAACTCTAACCATAATTTTGGCATAACCCTAACACTAACCTTTGCTTTAGACCGATCTTCAACCCTGGCTCAACTCCTTGACATACCAAACAGATGAATCACCTGAAAAGTATTGAATGGTTTTTGTATCACATTTTTGGCATTTTAAAACGTTTTAGCCAAATATTTTAAACTCCTATTGATTTATCACTCTCATCCAAAAACATGTTTAAAGTAATAGGCTATAGGCAACATGTTTAATATTATGTGAATAATAAACCAAAGGGCTACTGCCCACTTAAGAGAACGAATGGAGGGAATGTGAGAAGGGGGTGGCGGATGTAGGCCAATGATACGTGACTGCGGGGTCTGCCATCCCTGCTTTAAAACGTTTCAACTCATTATATACCGCTATTCAGCCCGGGTCCCGTTAGCTCATTGTTATTCTGCCGGAGTGAGAGAGAGAGAGGGATAGTGGGATAGTGAGCGAGAGACTGAAAGAGAGTGAGGACTTTGTGAGAGAAAGAGAGAGTGGCAAAGAGAGACAGAGATTGGTAGAGAACTGAGGCTTCTAACTGTAGGGAGTTTGAAGCAGTGGTCGGGGGGTTATTCGCGATGAATTTTCTGTCGGGGGTGTGCGCGTGAAGGCATGTTGCTAATCGGGTCGACAATGAGGAGAGGTACAGAACGGCACCAAAAGTCTGACGCCGATTTGTGTGAGCACAAATAAAAAGAGGGAGTGGGTGAGAAAGGGGGAAAATAGGGAGAGAGAGAGAGAGAGAGAGCGAGAGAGAGAGAGAGAGAACGAAGGCGGGGGGGGGGGGGGGGAGATTGTGATTTAGTGCTCTGGTGGGTGAAACAACCCCCCACTAACGAAGAGGAAAGCAATAGAAGAAAAGACAAAAAGGACAAAGCCAAACGGAGTTTTGGTCATCTGTTTCTTCAACAATGAGCTCAGAAAAGGTACGATTCTACTTTGTATCAACTCTTTTGTTGCTTATCTAACTTTGAATTAATTGCGATGAGTTTTATATGTAGGCCTAGAGATCAACAGGTGTTGCTGAATGAGGAGGCTATAGACTGGTGATAACTGACTTGCCGAGAGAGTTATGTCTCTCATTTCTTCCACTATCACAGGGTTTAGAGAAGATGTTTTGCATTTTAGTTATGTTTTCCAATAAAAGTCAAAGGTATAAACACTGAACCTATAAATCCTCCAATCTGTTTATAATGTTCCTGTTTTACAGACATTTGTTTATGATATTTTTCCCCTATGATATTACATCTCTGTCACATTTGTAATTGTTGCCAATACTGGTGTAATCACTTAAACTCATGCAGAGCTTGTCAACAGTTTTCAGTTGTTGAAGTTATATAGGCCTAGCAGCTGTTTTGGAAACATCTTTGGCAACAAAATGTAAAAATTGTATTTAAATAGCTACATTACAAATTGCAAAAGCCATTTCAGATACTGTGATTCAGTATTCACTATACAACGCATATAATGACAGCGTACTTGGGTACTGTACACATACATGATTAGATTCCTCAAGCACATATACATATTAGCCTACATCTTGCAGTGATGCTTTGTGTGTCTATCATTGTCTATATTTAATGGAAAATATAGGCCTATTTATTCATAGAACATCACTCAATGACCTTCTACGGCAGAATGAGTAGAGAATGAATGATCATGGGTGCACCTCAGCCACGCTCAAGGTCCTAAACGATATTATAACCGCGATCGATAATAGACAGTACTGTGCAGCCGTCTTCATCGACCTGGCCAAGGCTTTCGACTCTGTCAACCACCGCATTCTTATTGGCAGACTAAATAGCCTTGGTTTCTCAAATGACTGCCTCGCCTGGTTCACCAACTACTTCTCAGATAGAGTTCAATGTGTCAAATCAGAGGGCCTGTTGTCTGGAACTATGGCAGTCTCTATGGGGGTGCCACAGGGTTCAATTTTACATTTTAGTCATTTAGCAGACGCTCTTATCCAGAGCGACTTACATGAGCAATTAGGGTTAAGTGCCTTGCTTAAGGGCACATCGACAGATTTTTCACCTAGTCGGCTCGGGGATTAGAACCAGTGACCTTTCGGTTACTGGCACAACGCTCTTACCCACTAAGCAATTCTTGGGCTGACTCTTTTCTCTGTGTATATCAATGATGTCGCTCTTGCTGCTGGTGACTCTCAGATCCACCTCTACGCAGACGACACCATTTTGTATACATCTGGCCCTTCATTGGACACTGTGTTAACAAACCTCCAAACGAGCTTCAACGCCATACAACACTCCTTCCGTAGCCTCCAACTGCTCTTAAACACTAGTAAAACTAAATGCATGCTCTTCAATCGAACGCTGCTGGCACCCACCCACCCGACTAGAATCACTACTCTCGACGGGTCTGACCTAGAGTATGTGGACAACTACAAATACCTAGGTGTCTGGTTAGACTGTAAACTCAACTTCCAGACTCACATTAAGAATCTCCAATCCAAAGTGAAATCTAGAATCGGCTTCCTATTTCGCAACAAAGCCTCCTTCACTCATGCTGCCAAACATGCCCTCGTAAAACTGACTATCCTACCGATCCTTGACTTTGGCGATGTCATTTACAAAATAGCCTCCAACACTCTACTCAGCAAATTGGATGTAGTCTATCACAGTGCAATCCGTTCTGTCACCAAAGCCCCATATACTACCCACCACTGTGACCTGTACTCTCTTGTTGGCTGGTCCTCACTATATATTCGTCGCCAAACCCACTGGCTCCAGGCCATCTATAAATCACTGCTAGGCAAATCTCCGCCTTATCTTAGCTCATTGGTCACCATAGCAACACCCACCCGTAGTCTGCGCTCCAGCAGGTATATCTCACTGGTCATTCCCAAAGCCAACACCTCCTTTGGCCGCCATTCCTTCCAGTTCTCTGCTGCAAATGACTGGAACGAACTGCAAAAATCTCTGAAGCTAGAGACTCTTATCTCCCTCACTAACTTTAAGCCTCAGTTGTCAGAAAACCTTACCGATCACTGCACCTGTACACAGCCCTTCTGAAATTAGCCCACTCAACTACCTCATCCCCATATTGTTATTTATTTTGCATCCCAGTAGCTCTATTTGCACATCATCTCTTGCACATATATCATTCCAGTGTTAATACTAATTGTAATTATTTTGCAATATGGCCTATTTATTGCCTTACCTCCATAACTTGCTACATTTGCACACACTGTATATATATTTTCTGGGGTATTTTTGACTGTATGTTTTGTTTTACCCCATATGTAACTCTGTGTTGTTGTTTTTATCACACTGCTTTGCTTTATCTTGGCCAGGTCGCAGTTGTAAATGAGAACTTGTTCTCAACTGGCTTACCTGGTTAAATAAAGGTTAAATAAAAAAAAATGAGAGTGTGCATTACCCAACTTACCTTATAACACCATTTAACGGTGCTGATGTGTTTTAGTACATTGATTATACATTTGCTGTGTAATTCTATATTTGGCTATGTTGTCATTGCAAATGAGAATTGGTTCCCAATTGACCAACCTGGTTTGAATAACAAGAAATGTATGAACCTCTTCTTAAGTTGGACCTTGAGAATGTGCCCCTATCTGCAGATTTACTGTCAGTTTACCAAACCCCAATCCTAACCTTAGCCGTCAGGACATAACAAGCATAGCTGATTGTAGATCAGGGCTTATGGGGAACCAGAGGTAGTGTGTTGAGTTGGCTGGAAAGAAGTCCTGGGTTGTTTCCTGATTTACAACAATAGGATATTAATCAATGAAATTCTTCATTGGATTTCTTCAGATATTGATACGGTGCCTTTGTGCACTTCTTCTTAACCCAATTAGGCCCACTCCAGTCTCCTTTTCACCTCATGCAACACCTGATTTACTTAACAAAAGGCACATCTCAATAGGTGATCCAGGTATGACATGACACAAGTGGTGGCCTTTCCTCTCTTGTTCTCTATTGCTCCTCTATTGTTCCTCAAGCAAGGGGGGAGGCCGATGACATCACCTCAGACCATCAGACCAACCCTTACGAAAAACCACATGAATTTCACGTGATCACATGTGAATTGTTAAGAAAACCACATGTGATCTTATGTGAAGTTAATGCGATAACATGTGACAACATGGAAAGAAATATGTGATTACATGAAAACATGATCACATGTGAAGTGTTCCAAAAACAAGTTCACGTGAAATTTCACATGAAATCTGGATTTTATACATCATGTGTTTTTTCTGTAAGGGTAACTCCTTGAATGCCCTACTCCTTGACGTTTTCAGTTGTGTCTAAAAAGTACTATTTTGCTCCCAAAAAATGTACCCTCAAGTGTGTGGACATTACTGTATTTATACTTCATATTCAACATGAAACCTTTAATCGCTGGAGGACCTCTATAAGATAAGCTCAGAGCCTCCTTGAACATTGGTAACAATAGTTGTACTTGCAAAAAGTCCATAGGAGGTCAATTGTACTGTACAGAGTTGTAACCCATACATCTGTGGAATCAAATGATATCATCAGGTCTATTCAACAGCAGCCTGACCTGTCAGTGTTACCCAATACATGTCGGTCTGCCCAATGACCATCCACTGACATCAACAAATGAGCCAATGCATGACATGCTGCAGAATGCCACACTCACAGGATGTTGTCTGAAAGGAGCATGTGTGAGCCTTAGTGTTGAGTGAGGTCAGATGTGTGTGTAGGTCCGACACGAGGGCCACTGTGCTGTAACACTAGAGAGAAGAGGCTTGTGTGAGTGCCATTGTACATTCATCATGGCGAGAGTACTGTAGGTTTACAAAATAGAACTTGAATGACTATAATTATTTCTAAGACACAGTATTAGTGTATGTCTAGTCTTCCCACTCTATTTCCACAAACCCATGTTATGAAGTGTCATAAGCATGACACAAGCGTTGCATAAAGTGGTCTATATTACAAACCTTCTGATTGTGTCATGTAATATGTTACATTTTAGTCATTTAGCAGACGCTCTTATCCAGAGCGACTTACAGTTAGTGAATACATATTTTTTTATACTGGCCCCCCGTGGGAATCGAACCCACAACCCTGGCGTTGCAAACGCCATGCTCTATCAACTGAGCTACATCCCTGCCAGCCATTCCCTCCCCTACCCTGGACCAATTGTGCGCCGCCCATGAGTCTCCCGGTCGCGGCCGGCTGCGACAGAGCCTGGATTCGAACCAGGATCTCTAGTGGCACAGTTAGCACTGCGATGCAGTGCCTTAGACCACTGCGCCACTCAGGAGGTCAGGATGTTAGGCATTATAGTGGAGCAGTTAGAATGAGCTGTTACTCAGTGTGCTATAGCTTGCAAGTAAGCATTTCACTGTACTGTTTACACGTGCTGTATCCTGTGCATGTGACAAATAAACTTTGATTTAATTGGATTATACTTCACAGTAACAAATGATGTTTTTTCCCAGTAGGTGCTCCACCACTGCAGACACCATGTATTATACAGTGATACCCTGGTGTATTTTGCTTAGGTCATGTGATACATCTGGAATCACTTCTGCGTCGGAGTTATGAAGTTAAACGTAACCCCCCCCCATATGAAAGATAACTGTTACGTTCTCCCCTCGGGTGTAGCTCGTCTGGGGAGGAGACGTAAATGCCCGTGCACACAATGTAAACTAGATGGATGAGGAAGAAATGTGGGGTGTAACTAACTAAAATAACCAGACACAACAACCAGAACTCAGTGTTAGCCCTAGGGGGACGTTTAGTAAGGTACTAAACAACATAATATATAACAGCCATAAAGAAACAGTAATAAAACAAAGACCAATCAAACAAACCAGGGAAGGTAAGAGAAGGGAATGTTTGGGAACGGGGTCCAAGTAATGAAAATAAACAAAAGGTCCCTCCTCTTCTACACACCTAATCCTTCCTAACACACTCTAAGCCTTAACCCGCTTTCCTACCTGTTACCACAAATACAGGGGTGACACCCACCCGGCTAACCTAGTGTGTAAAACAGTGGGTTATCTACATGTGAATGTACACCCATGGGCAGAACTACCTTTCCCTTCTCCAGGACCCAGGTAGGGTGGAACACAGCAGGAGGACAGACTGGAACACAAACAAAGATAAATCAAAACAACCAATAACCAAATCCTCAGACAAACAGCCAAACAGAAAGTGCCCCCTCTCTCTCTTGAGCTCACACGGCAAACAGTTTATATACTCTAGTCAATCAGTCACTCACCCACAGCTGCCAGGACTCCGGACCGAAGCCACGCCCACCATCGTCAGCCGCAACTCAGCACACCTGTAATAACCAGAACACACAAACAGAACAACCACTCTGAACTACACACACACACTACAAAGGAAGATTGGGAGAAAGAAAAACATGTCACACGTAACAATAACATTATGACCAAAACGTGTCTTAAAACAGTGGTCAGACCCTCCTTTGCTTTGATTTCAGGCCCTGAGGTTGTTTTTCCTGCTTCCATATGGATGTGAATAACACGGCACTTCTTAACTTATGTGATTGAGTCCACCAATTACTTTATCACTACCCTACGTTAGGGCAACCCAAAGGTTTCTGCTATCAGTTTGTGCCAGACCAGTCATAACCCCTCAGATAAGAACAATTGACTTTTCCAACACCAGGTACAAGTGTCATGGCGCTGAATAAACATTGGACCACAGAGAGAGAACCGGCGCTGAACCGACCAAGCTGTTCGGCGACAGAATTCCCCCCAGGATTAAATGGCTAAAGTCTCGCTCAACTCAGCTTTTCCCCTTACAGCCCTCCTTTGTTATCCTAAAGAGATTACAGGAAAAATGTTGACCCATATCGGATAATGGAGCAGGACATAAAGTCAACATTCCCAGCCGTTAGCTCTGGAAGGTCACCCTCTTGATGAGGAGCAGCCGGGGTTCCCAAAGACTGGCTCAGGACCCACTGGTGGGCTGTGGTTGATTCCTCTTGGGTCACGGCATAGGACTTCTAGAAGTTTTGGGAATAGACTTAATACAGTCACAAACAACTCTAAAAGATGGGTCACAGCACAAACATGTTGGGTACGCAGGGTTGTAGTTTAGGGATAAGCGGTCTGGTCCTTGCCTCCTGTATGGATCGTAGACCACTGATGAATACCCTCCATCGCACTCTGTAGGGGTGAGTTGGATTTTCAGGTCACCTCCGACCACCTCGGCCTGAATATCTCTCCTCTTGGGTGGCTGGTTAGACTTCTCATAGAAGGTCTTTATACTTTAATTAATTTTATATTTCAGTCATTTAGCAGACACTCTTATCGATAGCAACTTACAGGAGCAATTAGGGTTAAGTACCTTGCTCAAGGGCACATTGACATATTCTTCACCTAGTCTGCTCTGGGATTCGAACCAGCAACCTTTTGGTTATTGACCCAACACTCTTAACCACTAGGCTACCTGCCAACACTTATTTCTCTCCATCTTTGTTTTTCCAGGGGCCTTCAGTCTGCTGTTGTAAAGCCTGATGTCCTAACATACAGGGGAGGAGACTACAATACATAAACATTCTGAAACACCATGTCTCGTTCAGATGAGGTCAACAAGATGACAGAAAACGTGTATAAGGTACAGTGTGTAGTGTTGTTGTCTCCAAGAGCAATGAATCAGTCTGTAGATGTAGTCAGGCGAGTGCCCTATATAACGGTTTTGTTGAAACTCAGTCTGCTAGCAGCAATGATCACAGACTGTGACTAAGTGGTTAGTTGAAGAGGAGACATGAATATTGTCTATTGTTGTCATGTGTGTTGTAGGGGATTCTGGACCAGTTCAACCCCAGTCTGAAGAACTTTGTGACCATGGGGAAACACTATGAGAAAGCCCTGACAGGTGAGAGAGAGTGGTGTGGACATACAGTATACTGTATAATTAAGAAATAAGGCCAGAGGAGGTGTGGTATATGGCCAATATACCACAGCTAAGGGCTGTTCTTTAAGCACGACACAATGCAGAGTGCCTGGACACAGCCCTTAGCCGTGGTATATTGGCCATATACCACAAACCCCGGAGCTGCCTTATTGCTATTATAAACTGGTTACCAACGTAATTAGAGCAGTAAAAATAAATGTTTTGTCATACCCGTGGTATACGGTCTGATAGACCACGGCTGTCAGCCAATCAGCATTCAGCGCTCGAACCACCCGGTTTATAATGTGTGGTATAGTATATCTAGTGGAGTTGTGGCGTTGGGTGGGCATGTTTGTTTGGACATTTTAATGATGCCTCTCTGGTGTCTCTGGCATAGAAGCTGCATTCCACCCAGGCCCAATCCTAAAGCCCATTTAGAGGGATAGTGTATAGAGGGTCTTTGTTACATAGTGCCGCTCACTGAAACGGGTTCTCCTCTCAGGAGTGACGGTGGCAGCTAAGGGATACTTCGATGGTCTGGTCAAACTGGGAGAACTGGCCAGCGACAGCCAAGGGTCCAAAGAACTGGGTGAGTGACTGGGTGTGTGAGAGAGAGAGAGAGAGAGAGAGAGAGAGACCGGTGGGGGGGGGGTGAGAAAGAGGGGGTACTAAGAGAGGTAAACTAAGGGACTATGGGAAAAGAAGAGAGCTAGAGAGTGGAGGGAAGAGAGAAAGTAGGGAGTAAGTGAGGGAGGGAGCTGAGAGAGAGAGCGTGAGGGAACTGAGGGAGAGGGAGAGAGTGGGATCATTGTTGAGAGATTAACAACACCACATGATCTCATTGTAATGCTGCAAACAGTCGGGGAGGGGGAGAGCAGGAGGGAGAGATGCCAGACACCACAAACTAGTGTGCTGTGGGAGAGAGACACACACAGCCTTTACCTCATTGGCAGACCTACAGCTGACATCATAGTCTGAGAAGTTGAAAGATACAATCATTCAGTCAGATAACAGCTCCAGGTGAGATAAAATAATACTTAATTGATCCAACACCTCAGAGATAATATTTGACATACAGACAACATGAAGTCAAAACATATGATTTAAAGTGTTTTTTTCCCAGCTCTTTTATCCCGCTCTGTATCCCTGTGTTGATGATGTATTCTCTGTATCCCTGTGTTGATGACGTATTCTCTGTATCCTCTGTAGCTCAGCTGGTAGAGCACGGCGCTTGTAACGCCAAGGTAGTGGGTTCGATCCCCGGGACCACCCATACACAAAAATGTATGCACGCATGAGTGTAAGTCGCTTTGGATAAAAGCGTCTGCTAAATGGCATATTATTTATTATTATTATTCCAGGAGACACGTTATTCCAGATGGCCGAGGTACACAGGCAGATTCAGGTTCAACTGGAGGACGTGGTGAGTGTTTACCGTGTGTGCGTGTGTGGTGATATGATTGATTGTTAAATATTGTGATGCTGTATGAATGATGGTATAATATGATCTACAGTTGAAGCTGTTCCATTCTGAGCTGCTGTCCCAGTTGGAACAAAAGCTGGAGTTGGATATTAAATATCTTACTGTGAGTTTATCTATGTATTCTCCTTAAAATATTTCCTTCTCTCTAAAATATTTTATTCTCTGTACAGCTGCAACCCCTTTTCTGACTGTAACAATTTTTCTATCTATTGCTCTCTGTTTTCTTCTCGCTCCGTTCTCTCTCGATCTCAGGCCACGTTGAAGAAATATCAGAGTGAGCGCAAGTCGAAGTCAGAATCTATCGAGCGCTGCCAATCACAGCTCAAGAAGCTGCGCAGGAAGAGCCAGGGCAGTCGCCATCCCCAACAAGTACGGAGATAGGGAGATGCAGGTAACTGGCATCAAACTACACCATTTTGTGTCAATAGTGTTTTGTATGTAACGTTTCAAAGGTGCAGTTGTGTATTGGTGAAACACTTACAATGGTGTTTTGACACAGATATTTGTGTGGGATTTTCTTGGAAACACCACCAGGCTAAAGCATCTTACTCAGCATTACAAGGCACAGTCAAGTGTTTGTGTGTGTGTACGTATGGATGAGATTAAACAGCAATCTGTCTCAGCTGATTTGGCTTCCACAGTCCTTACTGAAGTAAAACTAAATGGATAGGGAAGAGAAAGAGGAGAAATCTTAGAAATGAGAAAACAGGAATTAAGAAGGGGGTGGACGATGGAAGAAAAGGTTAAGGATTTAGTTTATCGCTGCTCAGCAGACAGGATATGATGTCACTTCTTCCTCTTGGTCCCTCTGTTGTGCCTCTCCTTACAGTGTATTATAAAGGTCACATATCTCCTTCTCCGCTGCCTCTGTTATGCTACATCTGTGTATGTGTGTGTGTTTACTAACCTCTCTGTCAGTATGTGGAGCTGATGAGTCGTCGTCAGGCTGAGCTGGACACGTTGGTTGCCGTGGGTTACCGCTCGGCGCTGACGGAGGAGAGGAGACGATACTGCTTCCTGGTGGACCGCCAGTGTTCCGTCACCAAGCTGCTCATCAACTACCACTGCAAGGTACACACACACACACACACACACACACTCTCTGTCCCTGACCCCCATCCAATGGCCAACCTGCCTCTCCTCCTCCCTGTGTCCAGGTGAGAGAGCTCCTGTCACAGAAGCTGTCCTCATGGCAACAGTCATGCTCCCAGCCAACCAGACTACCTGAACGGGCACTAAACCTGCTGCGTCACACCGCCCCCCAGGGCTCTGGGGCATCTGGGATAGCTGAGCTCCTCCGACACGCCAAACTGGGCGCTGCACAGCCAGAACAGGTGAGAGCAAGGGGTTTTCAATTCATTAGTAGGAATTCACAGACAAACGTCTGAATTACATGTACTTTATAAGACAAAGTGAAATGATTATAAGATTAGGGTATTCTATTATTTAGACAGGATTCAGATGGTTTTCAGTAATTTAGCAAAATTCCATTGTCTCTTCTCATCTCTCTGTCTTCTCTCTCTCTCTTACCATTTCTCTCTTTCAGAGGCTGTCAGTACAGGAGGTCCCACCCCTGTTGAATGGTGGCTCCCAGCAGCAGAGGCCCATCCGCTCTTCTTCCCAGAGTGACACCCCCCCTCCCCAAAACTCCCCCGGACCCCAGACATTCCGCTCCCTCGCTGCCACTGGAGGGGCCATTGGAGGTAGTGGGGCAGGCTCCACCCAGCAGACCAGCACGCCTATTAGTGCCTCAGCTATCCCCAATGCTAACAACAACACAAGCGCTAATGCTATCACTACTGCTAACACTCCCACTACTTCATCCACCTCCTCCATGGTTGGCTCCAGCCAAGCCCAGCAGTCCTCTCTCCTCCTGGCCACCAGCACCTCCAGCCTCTCCCCAAGTCTCATCCCCTCCACTGTGCTTTCTCTCAGCCAGGGCTCCCCATCCTACTCCTCCCTACAGGGCCTGGCCCTGCCGCTGTCCCTCAGTGCCCCTCACAGTCCTCCACTACCCCACAGTGCACCTCTCTCCAGAGCCATAACCCCCTCGCTGCACCACCAGGGGGGGCTAGGAGGAGGGAACACACCATTGCTGTCCCATAATCCCATACTGATGAAGGCAGCAGAGATGTATGGAACGTCTACACTGCCGTTGCCTAGGAGACCGGTCAGCGAGGCCCGGGTGGGAGTGTTTATGGGTAGGTTTTGATACCCCCCCTTCACTTTTTTTTCGCCATCTTGTCCTTTTCTTTTCCAAATGTGATGTCTATTTAATTCATTTCACGTTCCCTCTCTCCTCTGTCCCCTCTCTCTATCTTCCAGGTTCCACTCTGCCCAGAGACAGAGTTCTCCCTCTCTCCAGCCCGTCTCGTGTGGAAGCCATATTTGCCCATGCTCCTGGGGAGTCAGAGGGCAGTGGAGGGGGCGGGGCCTGCTTACTTCACTTTCTGCCAGGTGATGCTCTCAGCCTCCTCATCTCTGAGCCCAGAGACGGGTGGCACTATGGCCAGAATGAACGGACTGGACGGTAAGAGTTAGAACCCACCATTCAGCTGTACAAAAGTCTACAATTCTTTAAACACCAACTGAGGACTGTTCTGAAATTACATCTTCAGGCAATCCATGGGTTTTCTAGGTTATATATATGGATAATACCAACACAATTCCTCCCTCTCTTCCTTATAGGAAAGGCTGGTTCCCTTTCTCCTACACTCAGCCCTACCCCAACACCTTGGATCCCCTCGACAGCAGGTCTGTCACCATAGAAACAAGAAACTGTTATGATCATTCCTCAAAATGTTATTGTCTTAAATGGAAGTCAACTTTGCAGAATTATGATTAAATCTTGACACTGTAACTCTAGAAATCCTTCCGCTATGGTCTCCACCCTTCCCTTTATTGACTCTGATCTAACAGCCTATCAGCAGCGTTGTCAACAACATTATTGTCTTTCAGTACCACAGTGATGTCTACAAACTGGCAGTGATGATGTTGGCTGATTCACAAGAAGCTGAGAGAGATCACTGACACTTTGACACAGATACAGTGCATTCGGAAAGTATTCAGACCCCTTCACTTCTTCCACATTTTGTTACGTTACAGCCTTATTCTAAAATGGATTACATTGTTTTCCCCCCCTCATCAATCTACACACAATACCCCTTAATTACAAAGCAAAAACAGGTTTTAGATTTTTTTGCAAATGTATTAAACCATATTACATTTACATAAGTATTCAGACCCTTTACTCAGTACTTTGTTGAAGCACCTTTGGCAGCGATTACAGCCTAGAGTCTTCTTGGGTATGATGCTACAAGCTTGGCACACCTGTATTTGGAGAGTTTCTCCCATTCTTCTCTGCAGATCCTCTCAATCTCTTTCAGGTTGGATGGGGATTCATGCCATAGAGTTCAATCTTTGTTTCATCAGACCAGAGAATATTGTTTCTCATGGTCTGAAACTCCTTTAGGTGCCTTTTGGCAAAGTCAAAGCGGGCTGTCATGCCTTTTACTAAGGAGTGGGCTCCGTCTGGCCACTCTACCATAAAGGCCTGATTGGTGGAGTGCTGCAGAGATGGTTGTCCTTCTGGAAGGTTCTCCCATTTCCATAGAGGAACTCTGGAGCTCTGTCAGAGTGACCATCAGGTTTTTGATCACCTACCTGACCAAGGCCCTCTGCCGCGATTGCTCAGTTTGGCCAGGCGGCCAGCTCTAGGAAGAGTCTTGGTGGTTCCAAACTTCTTCCATTTAAGAATGATGGAGGCCACTGTGTTCTTGGGGTCCTTCAATGCTGCAGAAAGTTTTTGGTACCCTTCCCCAGATCTGTGTCTCGACACAATCCTGTCTCGGAGCTCCACGGACAATTCCTTCAACCTCATGGCTTGGTTTTTGCTCTGACATGCACTGTCAACTGTGGGACCGTATATATAGACAGGTGTGTGCCTTTCCAAATCATGTCCAATCAATTGAATTTACCACAGGTCGACTCCAATCAAGTTGTAGAAACATCTCAAGGATGATCAATGGAAACAGGATGCACCTGAGCTCAATTTCAAGTCTCATCGCAAAGGGTCTGAATACGTTATGTAAATAAGGTATTTCTGTTTTTATTTTTAATAATTTGCACAACCTACAAAAACATTTGCTTTGTCTTTATGGGGTATTGTGTGTAGATTGATGAGGAAAACGTTTAATTTAATCAATTTTAGAATAAGGCTGTAATGTAACAAAATGTGGAAAAAGTTAATGGATCTGAATACTTTCCGAATGCACTGTATGGCATCCTTCCCCTTTTCTGCTTTTCTTTCTCTCTGTGTCAGTCATTTTGATGTTTCCATGCCAAGCAAAAAGACAGGGCCCTTAGAGAGGAATAACAAGAAATGACCCTCACTCATTCTTTCCATCTGCCTAGGCTCTGTCCTAATCTTTTACCACCTCTCCAAGATCAACAGTACAGCATGACCACTTTCCTCCGTTCTTCCTTACTCTGAAATGTCAGAACAATATGCCTGTTGTTGTCATTAAGGATGTTGAGTTGAGCAAGACACTTGGAAAATGAACCATTTACTACTTGTTTCTCTCTAGCTCCCCGCTCCTCTCTAAGGTCAACAGCACCAGTACGGGTCAGTTAGACAAGCTGGTCTCCCCTGGCCTGCCTGCCCTGACCCCTGAGTCTGAGGAGGAGTGCTCGTTCCCCCCTCAGAGGGTCAGCACCTTCCGCCCGCGCCCCTACAGCATGGCCGACTCCAACCAGGTCAGCCTGAGGCCGAAGGTCAGAGGTGAAGGGGTAGAGTGGGCAGGGCCCTCTAACCGACCGGCTCTGTCAATGCTGATGCAAGAGGTATAGATGGCTTATAATGACAGAATATAATGTAGATATGATATGTAATGGGTTAATAACACTAGGATCTTTATCCCTTTTACTACAGCTCTCCTCAGACTTCGCCTCTCCTCCACCCTCACCAACCTGGTAAATGCATTCATTATATTTTATACAGTAGACATACTGCACTGCAGTAGTCACCAACCCTGGTCCACTTTAGATACATTCCTGTCAATAAACGTGTCTAAGCTTCTGTCATGCCTGATATGCACATTGTCTCCCTTGCAGGACCAACCCATTTGCCCATATCCGACTCAGAAAGACGGTGACCAACGATCGCTCTGCACCAATCATCGAATAGGACATGGTCTCCTTGATCAGGCAACCAATGGAGAGGTGTTAATAAGGAAACGTTCATGTGTTTTGAATTTGTTCTCAGAGGCCAGTAACTGTGTTGGTTGAGTTCTCAACTGTTGAGCCTTAAGAGAAAGCCCTACGTTAACCTTTCTGTTCATGTTGGTTATTTACAAGGGCTGATTAGATGTGTATTAATCAGGCCTAATTCAAAATACAGACACTTATGTGGTGTTATTTTGATGATAGAAGAATCAAAGCCGAAATTTCAGTGACATTACAGTGATTGTCAAAGACCCTTTGGACAAAATGAGATGTAGCTTTCAGCTGGTGAATCAGATCTTCAATTAAAAAAAATCCACCTTAGTATTTGAGAATTATAGCGGGAGTTGGAATATAGAGCACTGCGATGTTAGTAAAAACACAAACAGAGGAAGGCCATTTTGTCGGCATGTCCAACAGCCCTGGGCATTACTGACTATAAGATCATTTTATCATTTTATGTTTATTTTCATTTCACAACACTTTTCTAGAAGTAACCTTGGTAGAAAATGTTTTATGTTATTTTGTCTGTACCCGTTCAGGGACTGGTTCCTGGTAGCAGGCTATAGTTAGGTAATAGTTTTAATGAATTATAGCATACTTTACTTTTACCATTAGGAATTGTCTTAAAGGACAGATTTTTGAGAAGAGAGTTGTTTTTTTTTGTGCGGAGAGATGTGTGTGATCCAGGAAATCGAAACATGTTGAAGAATTTCATGTTTTTTTTCCATTGTTGGGATTCAATAAGGAGTATTTTTAAGCACATGTTAGCTAGGCAGATTTTTTCACTAGATGAGACCACCATCACTCAATCCTGAGTGTCACAGTGGTCTAAGGCTGAATCGCAGTGTAACTGATTCAAGATACTGGTTGAATCCAGCTGGTCGCACGAGGCCACAGACCGGCATGGGGGCACAATTGGACCCAGAGTTGAAATGGCGCAGGGTGTAGCTCAGTTGATGAGCATGGCGTTTGCAATGCCAGGGTTGTGGTTCGATTCCCACGGGGCAAATTAAAGACAATAAAAAATATTGTATTCACATAACTGTATGCCCATGTGATAGAGCGTTGCAATGATTTAAATGAAATTGTAATGATTGATTCACTTTACAACTTAATGACATGTCATCGTATGGAGATTTAAAAAAGGTTTATTGATGTTGCAATGGAAGTTGCTTACTGAGGTCATCAGCACAACGTTGGGTAGGAAATAGTTCAAGTTTAAACACCAATATTTTTAAAATAATAATTTGTTTTAATGTACTTTGTATAAGGAATTATACTTTTAAGATCAACTGATCAATTTACGAAGGCAATTGATATGATTTGTTATACACAGAAATATGTTGCATTGCAAAGCTATTGCTGCAAGTTTGGGATGTGTAGATTGTATTGAACATTTACCTTCAAGAGTCTCTTATCTACTTTAAGGTATTAATAGAAGTAAGAAGGAGCAACAGTACAGATGTAGGATCTTCATTTGATCACTCTTTTGTTGCTGAGAATTTTCCTGAAAAGCAGGAAATACAAACTTGTAGTGTATTTTCGTTTTTAAAAGGCTTCTAATGTTTGTAATTTCCACTTTGAAATTTCAGACTTGATTTGCCCTAACGAAAAATCTATCAACCCCTACAAAAATGTAGATTAATTCACATTTCCTGTTGCTGCAGGATTATTTTCCTGTGGTAGACAACTGGGTAAAATTAAGATCCTACATCTGTAACAATGCATTCTGTGGTGTGTACTGTACTTATATTGTATTGGACAGGTAGAAGAGGAAAGAAACAGTGGAGGGTTCGGAGGATGGGTTTTCATGGAAAATAGGTTTGAGAAATTGGCATTGTGTTGAGGGATAAAAGTATAAGAGAAGTGATGTATTCAGCTCTTGTTTGAGTTTTTACTAGTGTCTTCTCGATTTATTTTGAATTCGACACAAACAGATTGTTAACACCTAGTAGATTTTAGCTGCACGTTTACCAATTGCAAACCGTACAGAACCTTATTTAAGGAGCGAAGACTGATGATTGTGTTGATGAAGAAGTCTAACTTTGAAAGTGTTGAGGAAAGTATTTGGAAAGTGGAACAGTGTGTGTGAGCAAGTGTCAATGGTAAACTAGATGTAGAAAATAGTATTTTTCTCTCATTTTCTCCATGTCTGGTATCTCTCTAGTCTGTCCGTCATCTAGAAAACTGGAGTTGAGAGATTCAGGGTGGAAATATGTTGCTGGGTAAATTGAGATTCTCTGTATGATCTTTATTCTGATTTCTGGCTCTTAGTGTATAGTTCCTGCTCTCCTCATATTAAGTTGCATCGCTAACCTAGCCTGTGAAATGATTGACTTTCTTGCTATGGGAATTCTAACACCCAATAAATAACATTGCTGTTGATTTAAATACTGAGTATAGTGAAATCACACAGTTGAAGCTTACTTGTGTTTGTTCAAATTGCACACAAAAAACTACATATTTGATCTTGTTTAACTTAGTTTTTCCCTTTTAGTTTTTCTTTAACCTTGCACCTTTTATTTTCACCGTCCTAACCTCCGACAAAATATGACCTTTCAATGTCAAAATATCTAGCTATATGAGAATGGGATCCAGTTATACAAGGCAAAAGAACTGATGCTGTGGTGACTATTCAGGATCTTATATTCAGGATTGTCTTAAATAAGTGTTTAAGAACTAAACAATTGCCTCTGCTCTTACTTTTATTTTGGTCTTCTTTTAATATTTGTAATGTTTATGTTTTGTATTTTTTTGTTACTTCATCTGTAGCTTTTTTCTCTTTAAAACAACATTGCCTTTCCGAGTCACACAACAATCATGGTCACAGTATAGGAAACCTCACAAATACACACCTTCCTGATACCTGTTATTGTATTTCTTTCCAAATGAAAACTTCAATAAACATGTTAATCACTATACCCGGTGTTCATCTTCGCATTGAACAACCAAACCATTTTACAGGTATTTTAAATAAAATCTCCTTGGCTTCAGTGGAATTGAGTGGCTACAAATACCTTATACTCCTTGTTCTATAAGGCCCTATGCACATAATCAATAGAATGTTACTGTAGGCAATAGTTTCAGTAGTCTATGTTCTTGATGATAAAGCACTCCGATGCTCTGATTTTGTTTTTATGTGTAAAGCCAAAGGTTCACTTCCACATTGGGTTGACAATAACGTTTTTCTAGTGTAATGTAATCTATTTTATTTATGTATTTCATAAACAGATTTAATTCTTAATAAGTGTGGCCATACAGTGCATTCGGAAAGTATTCAGACCCCTTCCCTTTTTTCGACATTTTGTTACATTACAGCCTTATTCTAAAATGATTAGATAAAATAATGTCCTCATCAATCTACACACAATACCCCATAAAGACAAAGCAAATGTTTTTGTAGGTTGTGCAAATTTATTAAAAATAAAAACAGAAATACCTTATTTACATAAGTATTCAGACCCTTTGCGATGACACTTGAAATTGAGCTCAGGTGCATCCTGTTTCCATTGATCATCCTTGAGATGTTTCTATAACTTGATTGGAGTCCAACTGTGGTAAATTCAATTGATTGGACATGATTTGGAAAGGCACACAACTGTCTATATAAGGTCCCACAGTTGACAGTGCATGTCAGAGCAAAAACCAAGCCATGAGGTCGAAGGAATTGTCTGTAGAGCTCTGAGACAGGATTGTGTCGAGGCACAGATCTGGGGAAGGGTACCAAAAAAATTATTCAGCATTGAAGGTCCCCAAGAACACAGTGGCCTCCATCATTCTTAAATGGAAGAAGTTTGGAACAACCAAGACTCTTCCTAAAGCTGGCCGCCCGGCCAAACTGAGCAATCGGGGAATAAGGGTCTTGGTCAACGAGCTCCAGAGTTCCTCTGTGGAGAAGGGAAAACCTTCCAGAAGGACAACCATCTCTGCAGCACTCCACCAATCAGGCCTTTATGGTAGAGTGGCCAGACGGAAGCCACTCCTTAGTAAAAAGCAAAAGGACTGATGAGAAACAAGATTTTCTTGTCTGATGAAACCAAGATTGAACTCTTTGGCCTGAATGCCAAGCGTCACATCTGGAGGAAACCTGGCAGCATGGTGGTGGCAGCCTCATGCTGTGGGGATGTTTTTCAGTGGCAGGGACTGGTAGACTAGTCAGGATCGAGGGAAAGATGAACGGCGCAAAGTAAAGAGCGATCCTTGATGAAAACCTGCTCCAGAGCACTCAGGACCTCAGACTGGGGGCGAAGATTCACCTTCCAACAGGACAACGAACCTAAGCACACAGCCAAGACAACGCAGGAGTGGCTTCGGAACAAGTCTCTGATTGTCCTTGAGTGGCCCTGCCAGAGCCCGGACTTGAACCTGATCTAACATCGCTGGAGAGACCTGAAAATACCATCCAACCTGACAGAGCTTGAGAGGATCTACAGAGAAGAATGGGAGAAACTCCCCAAATACAGGTTTGCCAAGCATGTAGCGTCATACCCAAGAGTCGAGGCTGTAATCGCTGCCAAAGGTGCTTCAACAAAGTACTGATTAAAGGGTCTGAATACTTATGTAAATGTTATATTTCCATTTTTTTTTTCAAAATCAAAAAAACTGTTTGTGCTTTGTCATTATGGGGTATTGTGTGTAGATTGATGAGGTGAAATAAACAATTTAATCAATTTTAGAATAAGGCTGTAACGTAACAAAATGTGGAAATAGTCAAGGGGTCTGAATACTTTCCGAATGCACTGTATATGTGGCTGTTGGGGAAAAACATAGAAAGTCAGATGTACGAAGAGCCTCCAGCACCTCCTCTGAGATGAAGGTGCGGGCTGGCCTGCTGAACACCCCAACCTCCTGGAACTCTCTGGACCAGCCAGGGGCCCCCAAGGAGGTGGCCTGTTGGAAGGGACCCTGAGGGGCCGTTCCAGGCACCAGAGTTGCACCACTTCTGTTCCAGCCCAACACACCTGATTCAACTACTCAACTAATCATTTATAGCCATTGATTAGCTGAATCTGGTGTATTAGTGCTGGGCTAGAATAAGATGTGCAACGCTTAGAAACACACTGAGCTATAAGCCAGCTGAGAGAAAGCTTGTCCAGCCTCACCTGCACTGAGTGACCGTCTCCCTCCACAGGTGAAGATGGCCGCTCGGATGAACTCTCGACCACACAGCTGCACTCCATACGTTTTGCTGTCCATCACCTGCAGCCCAGCCACCAGCAGACACGCAGCTAGTACCACTGCTTTCCACATCATATTCCAGGAGGAAAGAGAACGGGTGAACAAAGAGGAGAGAAAATATTATTCAACGGTAGATTTGGAGCAGGTGTTTATCTCTCGCTCTCTCTGTGTTGCCAAGAGTTATGTGACTTCCTCAGTGACCGGGGGTTGGTTTATAAAGGGGTCCTCAGCCCTGTGAGGAAGACGTGTAACCTGCACACACACACGGACACCCATAGATAAGAGTGAGAGAGCAGGGCTTTATGGGCATAAAGCACAGTGGCATAATTAACCAATACTGCCCAAACGGGGCATGACATCAAAGGGCTTTGTAATCTGATTAAAAAATAAATAATAATAATAATCTGGATGTCAAAGCCATGTTTCATTTCAATTTCCCACCCCTTTTGTATGGTCATCCATCACCTCAAATCCAATTGACCGCCAGACATTTATTGTGTAATGTCTGAAGTGTGTGTAGGGCTAGTAGTTTGTAGTTCTAAAGTGTGTTGCCTTTTGTATAAAAGTACAAAATAGGTTAATGCTGTATACATTGTAGGTTAGTAGGTTTCCTAACATTAATTTCTGAATTGGATCAAATGGTGTATTAATCCAGTGAGATTGTGAATACCTTTTGAATAAGTAATTTTATTTAAAAAGGAAATGTGTTGTGTTTCACAATACATTGAAACCCCTTATGCTACAATATTCATAAAAATGCCCAAATCATATTGACAACAAATAACATCCCAACAGAATCCAAGAGCAAAGTTGGTGGTATTAAATAAAGCATCTTTATTGAGGGTCATCTACTGAGAAGCAGACACAGAGAGACCGAACATCGGGCTGTGGTCTGTACAGGGACGGGAATGTGGACGGTTACAGGCTTTTAATCCAGTCCAGGTTTGGTCCTTTAGGGTCACTGGGGTGGCTGGGGACATCGTCCATCTTGCCATTGTTTCGCACAGGGACTAGGGAGAGAGGAAAAAGGGTTTTGTTTATGCCACCAACTTTCTAGGGCCAGACTTATTGATTTGCTCATAATGGTTTAATGGCTTACCTGGGTAGTTGTATGGCACAGCTGCATTCATCATTCCTGAGTACTTCGTGAAGGGACTCACTAATGGAACAGTGACGGCTGGGAAGAAATACATGAAATATGACAATGATATGTTACACCAAGTGAACACAAAACTCAATTCAGGGAGGGCTGAAGGGTAGTGTGCAAGAGTTTATTTTATGTTTATCATGTAATGTCAGAATCCATAAGGTGTAACTACAGTTGAATTTAGCATATTGTAAGATATGAGCATTACAACCTGTGATGTATACTTTGAGAGATGTACTGACCAAGAAGTCCAATTGCGCAAGCGGCCAATACCACTGGCTCCTTATTCCACGCATTCTTCAGGAAGGCTCCAATTCCTGGCAGGAGAGGCAAATAGACATTTAAGTTACAGCGCCACAAATACACACTGTGTTATGCATTATCTATGATCCAGTGATTGATGAAGGTAGTAAGGATACAGCTAGGTACAAAATAGCTGGGCTTATATGACTTGAAACTACATGTCATATACCCATTAGTTTGAGTCTATACAGTATTGTAAATATGACAGCAGTGGGCAGCCAAATACTGAAGATGAAGCTAAAAGATCAACCCCATCCAGCAGCGCTGTACACACCAGGGTAAGCAGGACACAACGTTTTGGAACAAACATGCCTCTGACATGTAGAATAATAATCACATCAGCTCTAATTGATAGGATTTCTTTCTGCAAAGTTCGACAACTGAACGTGGCCCAGGTTTACACTCAGCTCAGTCAGAAGAGAGCAGTGGACTTCGGAATGCAACAACAATTACCATGACATGAGCGAGTCAGATTGGAGATAGCTAATGATCAAACTACTACATTTTGATTTGAGCTTGAGGTTAAAAGAATGAAGCAGAGACGCGACATGCAGTTAAAACAAATCGGCTAACGCTATGTTTATCCAAGGTCACATTATTAGTTTGGCGTGGTAAATTAAAATATGCATACAAAATTAGAGTTGAATACAATGTTTAGTTAAAATTAATCATACACTAGCATTATCAGAATTCCAGTGTTTGCTTGACAGAGGAATCAAGCATAAAACGAGACAGCTAGCCATCTTGCTAATATAGCAAATTTCACCGACCTGCCATGTTGCTCTTTGTAGTTTGGCTGGGGAACATGGGAACTGTTGTAGTCTACATAATGTCGTATAATTGTTGCGCCAGTTGCAACAATACAAAAAGGTTGTTTGACAGCGTGAACTCTGCGGTGATGCATTGAGCGCTGCAGTCAATGGATGGGGTAAACATATATTTAAAGTGTCATTCAGACCATCCAGATACAGTAGTTAGTCGTAAATCTTCAAAAATGCTGCGCATGTTAGATGCTTTTCAATAACGTCGTTAGCAAGTTAAGCTAACGTTAGCTAGTCGAATGTGTTGTGGTCATCTCGGTTGAATCGTTTTCAGTTTAAACAAGAAAAGCTCACGTTAACGAGTTGTGATTTCATTAACCAAATCAAAGGTAAGTCACCTAAATGTAATTTTATTTGGGGTTGAGGAGGGTGTAGCTGATTAGCTAACTCCTGTTGAGCTAACGCTGTCTGCAAGCAAAGTTATGATAACTAGCTTTAACGTTCCCCAAAATTAGCCCCACATAGGACGAGGCGTCCTGTAGTGTAGGGCTAAAGAAAATATGCTGTCAGGTTGAGACAAGGAATGAACCCTACCTGTTTGTCAAATGAAGTGTAGATTTGTGACACCGTCTAGGAAGTGATTTATGGGGATGAACGATCTTATTCCTCCTTCACCCACCCCTCACTCAGATGATGGAGGATTTCTCTGGCCTGGCCCTGCCGCCTCTCTTTGGGGGCCACATCCTGGAAGCAGAGCTGGAGCCAGGCGGGGTGGAACTGGGCCCAGGGGAGGTAAGTAAGAGTTCTGACTATTATGATTCCAGTGGCTCGGTTGGTTGGAAATGGAATATGGTGCTAGAGCAGGGGTATTCAACTCTTACCCTACAAGGTCCGGAACCTACTGGTTTTCTGTTCTACCTGATAATGAATTGCACTCACCAGGTGTCCCAGGTCTAAATCAGTCCCTGATTAAAGGGGAACGGGGGGTGGAGTGAAATTGGCTTCGAGGTCCAGTGTTGAGTTTGAGGGAGCTAGAGTGTGTACTAAATGACCGTTTTTATCATTAGGTAGAGCTTGGCCCTGGGGTCAGTGAGTTGCTAGAGGGCAGAGGTCAAGGGTCAGGAGCAAGGCCAGAGCAGGAGGAGGAGAAGAGGAGAGAATTGGAGAAGAGGAAGTACCTGGCTTTGATCAAGAGGTGTAAGGAGATCGAACAGGTGAGTGACTGTGTGGAATAATTTGTGTGTGATTGTAAGTGTGGATTTTTAATGCGACTTCACTATCATATCTTCAGGTAGTGCTCTATTTAAGAACCGAGTAATACGGATGAGCATATGTGAACATATAGTCTGCTGTTGGTAATGCCAGTGCACACATGTAGCATAAAGAAATGCATGGTAATGAATCCTTTCTAGGGTTGCAAAATTCTGGGAACGTTCAATAAATTATCTGGTTTTCCAGAAATCCTGGTTGGAGGTTTATGGATTTTTTGTTTATTCCCTCCTGATTCAGGGAATCCTCCAACCAGGATTTTGGGAAAACCAGGGTGTTTATTGACAGTTCCAGGAATTTTGCAACACTAATCCTTTCACCATTTTCTCTGCAGGTGAATGAGAAGATCCTTGGTCGCCTTCACCAACTACAAAGACTAACACGTCGCATGAAGAAAGAGAGAAGGTAAAAAAAGGACTGAAGATCTGTCTGTCCTTTCATTGGTTCATGTCTTTTTCAGTCTATGGTCTATTGGCCTCTCCATTGTCTATACAGGCTAGCTCAACTACAACAGCAACTTAACTTTCCCACTGTAGGTTCCTAATGAAGACCCTCGACGCCCATGGAGATGACTATAGAAATGCACAGCTCACCATATTGCTTGAGGTGAGAGCAAGATTTTCTAAAAGTAAAAAGTGTTTTTTTTAAAATAATAAACCAGCAAAAGATCCATGATATACAGTTATGGTATATTCAAATGTAACAACGCTTGCATTATTCAATCTTTCACCATTAACTTTGATGGTGATGCAGAAGATGTCAACTGGGCTGTTTTTCTGTTGGCATGAAACTGGAGAACTGTTCTGAAACTGAGGAGTTTTCTCCCACATACTGTATCTTTATACTAAATGCAACACTGTTGTTGTTTCAGGAAGAGTCTGGTGCCCATTTAGACATCAGCCCTAGAGCAGAAAATGATAGGCTGAATGACCTTCCTAGCTCCTCCCCCTCTGTCCCATTCCAATCCACAGTGGGATCCAAGAAGAAGAGGCATCGAGTTCCAAAACAGGAGAAAGACCCACAGGTGGGTGAGACGTACTCATAAACCAAGAGTGTGACATTAACGTGCACACCCAAACCAAATGAATGAGCAAAGACTGTAGTGGTGAAATATGTGCGCGACTGTGTGCAGAGAAAGTTGGCGGCTTCTCCTTTACACTGAGAGTGCATTGCATATTCTATTCTGTGCATATGGAACAGAATGCACTGCAGCGTTCTCCAATCAGGCAGACGACAGATCTGTCAATCTGTTTCCCTACAATGGTTCTGTTGTTAACACCATCTTCACTCCTCTCCACAGACTGAAGCAGACGTCTCCATGTTGGCAGAGACGCAGTTCAGTGACTTTCCAAGCCCAACCTCTTTGTCTCACTGACCAGGGGAATGGCCTGCTGCTAGTGGGAGGAGAAATGAAGCAGTATTCTGTTGCTCGGACTCACACTTCCCCAGACGTGATGTCACTGAAACGCATACAGCCAGGGCTCTTTGGGATGTTCTGAAAGTTGTATTGGGCTCGAGCCCTGATACGATGGAATAGGATGAAGCTACCCCTGATCTAAGGTTCTATTACGTGGATGCTGTCTACAGAACCTTTCAGATAGAAATGAAAAACATAGTGTATTTGATTATCATTTGTGCACAACTGTGGTCTGTGGAAATGACTGAAGGTCTTGACCATGGTAATCCACCCATTCTGCTCGAGTAGAGAATGCATGGTCCGGTCCTTGCGAAAGTTACACTGACAATACATTTATTGATGTGAACCTTTATCAGGATACTCTTAACATGTTTTATGATTGTTTGTCAAGGTGATGCTTACTAAATGTTCTGTATATAAAAAAAAATGTATTCAAAACTTCTGGGTTTTTTACATTTTACCATTGACCTGTCATCTGATAAACCAATCACGGGAAAGTATACCTGCGGAAGTTGTCCAACGACGGTGGAGAATTTGGTCCAATCATAGCTTGGAGGTAGGGTTTAGGGCGGAATCCACATTTTGTGGGTGGGATTTAGCTACCGTCCATCTTTAGTGTACTGTACAGCCAGATTGACGAAAAGAAAACAAAAATTGGAAGTAAAGAAGACTGGGGAATTAGTTTTAGTTTTAATTGAAAGAGACAAACGAAAAGCCCAAACCCTAGGTAAATGTCTTAAACAAATGTGAATTTAGCTGGTTGACCCAGTTTCCCTAATTTTCCTAAATTACCAGCTATCTAAACTGCTAGCTAGCTAGCTAGCATTGTGATTGCAGTAGCTAGCTAGATAAATTTGCTAGCATTAAGACAATTACCAACATAACGTCAACTGTGTCCAAAATATAATCGCAATATATACAGTTCATGCATTGAATAGCAATTGCATTGGAATGAGATGTCGAAACCAGCCAACCAGCATGTGAATTGGCTATGTTAGCTAGCTAGTTGGCTAATGTTGCTGACATTTCCAGCGAGTCAGCTATTGAACTGTTTTTACGATTGATGAAAATAGTGATGTACGCTAAAATGAGCAGCATGTTAATTCTTTGCTAAGCCGAGGTGCATTTCGCTGCAAGTGTTTGTATTATCTGTAGCTAGTTGATGCTAGGAAGCTAGCTAGGGATACAATTTCAACCAGACAATGCAATAAATGTCCATTGTGTCTGTGTGCATTGTTGTGTTTTTAGCTAATCTGTTATCTCCCTCTCACAATGAAAGACGGTATGAGGACATTGTCGTAGTGAAGCCATGGCTGACAAGAGAAAACTCCAAGGTAACTGTCCCATAGAGCAATAATGCATGTAATGGACTGGACACTGACCTCTCACACTCTTTTGACTATCAGTTATTTCAATTATTGGATTAATCTTTCAGAGATTCAATGTAATATGTTAGTCCAGTAAAATAGATTGGCATATTTTTATGATGATGTCTTTCTTTCCTCTCCCCAGGTGAAATTGACAGATGTTTGAAAAAGGTAGCTGAAGGCGTAGAACAGTTTGAAGACATTTGGCAGAAGGTGAGGACTCCTTAACAACACTATTCAGTGTGCATGAAACATAATGATTTGTTCTCCTATCAAACAAACTGATCTTTGTTACTTTGTTTCACAGCTTCACAATGCAGCCAATGCCAACCAAAAGGAAAAATATGAGGCAGACCTTAAAAAAGAGATAAAAAAGTTACAGGTAAGACTAATTGCTTACTAATAGTAAGTAAAATATGAAGCTGTCTTAATATCCCATGTTGTCTGCTCACACTGAAAAAAAGCTATGAGTCTTTACTTAAGTTTTAATTGTTGTTTTCTTGTCATCTTCTCCTGCAGCGATTGAGGGATCAGATAAAAACATGGGTGGCATCAAATGAGATCAAAGACAAAAGGCAGCTAGTGGAGAATCGCAAGGTCATAGAGACGGTAATAATCTCCAAAAATATTTATTTGTTTAACACTGATAGGAGAAAAGAGTGGATAGGTCTCCACCATATTGTGTTTACCTTTCAACAAGGGCCGGGACGATACCAGTATTGCGATACTTGTTAGTACCGTGTCTCCTGAGTGGCGCAGTGGTCTAAGGCACTGCATCGCAGTGCTAACTGTGCCACTAGAGATCCTGGTTCGAATCCAGGCTCTGTCGCAGCCGGCCGCGACCGGGAGACTCATGGGCGGCGCACAATTGGCCCAGCGTCGTCCAGGGTAGGGGAGGGAATGGCCGGCAGGGATGTAGCTCAGTTGTTAGAGCATGGCGTTTGCAACGCCAGGGTTGTGGGTTCGATTCCCACGGGGGGCCAGTATTTAAAAAAAATAATGTATTCACTAACTGTAAGTCGCTCTGGATAAGAGCGTCTGCTAAATGACTAAAATGTAAATGTAAATGTACCGTGGCAAGGAAACAAAACACGAAGCGGATTTAACTTATTTAGGAAGACATCCCTAATTTTGGAAGCAAATATTATTATGTTCACTGTGACATTTATTTATTTTACAAGCTATAGCACACAATGTTCTACATACAGCAGGGTTTTAAAGGACCGTAGCCATTGAACTGCTAAATAGTTAATTATATGGTTATACAGACTATCTACATTGACCCTATCTCAAACCGGTGTAGACTAACAGTGGAACGCTTACTTAGGGGCCCTTCCCAACAATGCAGAGAGAAATAATAGAAAAATAATAACACAAGGAATAAATACACAATGAGTAACAACTTGGCTATATGCACAGGGTATCAGTACCGAGTCGATGTGCAGGGGTACGAGGTAATTGAGGTAGATATGTACATATACACTGAACAAAAATATAAACACAACATGTAAAGTATTGGTCCCGTGTTTCATGAGCTGAAAAAAAAAATCCCAGAAATGTTCCATATGCACAAAAAGCTTATTACTTTAAAATGTTGTGCACAAATGTGTTTATATTCGTGTTAGTGAGCATTTCTCCTTTGCCAAGATAATCCATCCACCTGACCGGTGTCGCATATCAAGAAGCTGATTAAACAGCATGATCATTACACAGGTGCACCTTGTGCTGGGGACAATAAAAAAAGCCTGCTTTGAAATGTGCAGTTTTGTCACACAACACAATGCCACAAATGTCTCAAGTTTTGAGGGAGCGTGCAATTGGCATGCTGACTGCAGGAATGTCCACCAGAGCTGTTGCCAGATAATTTCATGTTAATTTCTCTACCATAAGCTGCCTCCAATGTCGTTTTAGAGAATTTGGCAGTATGTTCAACCGGTCTCACAACCACACACCACGTGTAACCACACCAGCCCAGGACATCCACATCCGGCTTCTTCACCTGTGGGATCGTCTAAGGGGGAGTGGGGAGGGGTGTTGAGGAGTATTTCTGTCAGTAATAAAGCCCTTTTGTTGGGAAAAACTCATTCTGATTGGCTGGGCCTGGCAACCCAGTGGGTGGGCCTGGTTGCCAAATAGGTGGGTCTGGTTGCCAAATGGGCAGGCCTATACCCTCCCAGGCCCACTCATGGCTGCACCCCTGCCCAGTTGTGTGAAATCCATAGAAATCAGTCAATTTATTTATTTAAATTGACTGATTTCCTTGTATGAACTGTAACTCAGTAAAATCTTTGAAATTGTTGCGTTTATATTTTTGTTCGGTATAGGTAGGGATAAGGTGACTAGGCAACAGGATAGATAATAAACAGTAACAGCAGCGTATGTGTTGAGTCAAAAGAGTTAGTCCAAAAAGGATAAATGCAGATAGTCCAGGTAGCTATTGGATAACTATTATTATCTTGCACTGACTCTATGCACACTCACAAGACTATATATACGCACTATACACTGAGTGTACAAAACATTAGGAACACCTTCCTAATATTGAGTTGCACCCCCTTTTGCCCTCAGAACAGCCTAAATTCATCGGGACAAGGTGACGAAAGCGTTCCACAGGGATGCTGGCCCATGTTGACTCCAATGCTTCCCACAGTTGTGTCAAGTTGGCTGGATGTCCTTTGGGTGGTGGATCATTCTTGATACACACAGGAAACTTTTGAGCGTGAAAAACCTAGCATCGTTGCAGTTCTTGACACATTCAAACCGATGCGCCTGGCACCTACTACCATACCCGGTTCAAAGGCACTTAAGTATTTTGTCTTGCCCATTCACCCTCTGAATGGCACACATACACAATCCCTCTCTCAATTGTCTCAAGGCTTAAAAATCCTTCTTTAACCTGTTTCATCCCCTTCATCGACACTGATTTCAAGTGGATTTAACAGGTGACATCAATAAGGGATCATAGCTTTCACCAGGATTCACCTGGTCTGTCTGTCATGGAAAGAGCAGGTGTTCCTAATGTTTTGTACACTCAGTGTATACTTACTCACACACACTACACTGACACTCACACAGCCCACACACATTCACATACACTACATACGCACACACGCACATAACACACACACGCACATAACACACACGCATACCAACACAACACACACTTTCACACTCATCATTTGCTGCTGCTACTCTGTTCTTTATTCTTACTGTTATCTGTTCTGATGTCTAGTCACTTTGCCCTTTATGTACACATCTACCTCATCTCTTTCACTGTACCCCTGCACATTGATCTGGTACTGGTACTCCCTTTATATACACAAAAGTATGTGGACACCTCTTCAAATGAGTGGATTCGGCTATTTCTGCTACACCCGTTGCTGACAGGTGTATAAAATCGAGCACACAGCCATGCCATCTCCATAGACAAATATTGGCAGTAGGATGGCCTTACTAATGAGCTCAGTGACGTGGCATCGTCATAGGATGACACCTTTCCAACAAGTCAGTTCGTCAAATTTCTGCCCTGCTAGAGCTGCCCCAGTCAACTATAAGTGCTGTTATTGTGAAGTGGAAATGTCCAGGAGCAACAATGGCTCAGCCGCGAAGTTGGTAGGCCACACAAGCTCACAGAACGGGACCGCCAAGTGCTAAAGCGCGTAGCTTGTAAAAATTGTCTGTCCGCGGTTGCAACATTCACTTCCAAGTTCCAAACTGCCTCAGGAAGCAACGTCAGCACAATAACTGTTCATCGGGAGCTTCTTGAAATGGGTTTCAATGGCCGAGCAGCCGCACACAAGCCTAAGATCACCATGTGCAATTCCAAGCATCAGCTGGAGTGGTGTAAAGCTCGCCGCCATTGGACTCTGGAGCAGTGGGAACGTGTTCTCTGTAGTGATGAATCACGCTTCACCATCTGGCAGTCCGAAGGGACGTATCTAGGTTTGGCGGATGCCAGGAGAACGCTACCTGCCCCAATGCATAGTGCCAACTGTAAAGTTTGGTGGGGCTGTTTTGCATGGTTTGGGCTAGGCCCCTTAGTTCCAGTGAAGGGAAATCTTAACGCTACAGCATATGACATTCTAGATGATTCTGTGCTTCCAACTTTTTGGCAGCAGTTTGGGGAAGGCCCTTTCCTGTTTCCGCATGACAATGCCCCCGTGCACAAAGCGAGGTCCATACAGAAATGGTCTGTCGAGATCGGTGTGGAAGAACTTGACTGGCCTGCACAGAGCCCTGACCTCAACCCCATCGAACACCTTTGGGATGAATTGGAACGCCGACTGCGGGCCTAATCGCCCAACATCAGTGCCCGACCTCACTAATGCTCTTGTGGCTGAATGGAAGCAAGTCCCCACAGCAATGTTCCAACATCTAGTGGAAAGCCTTCCCAGAAGAGTGGAAGCTGTTATAGCAGCAAAAGGGGGACCAACTCCGTATTAATGGCCATGATTTTGGAATGAGATGTTCGATGAGCAGGTGTACACATACCTTTTGGCCATGTAGTGTAGCTTAATTCTTGTGTATTTTATTCCTCCTGTGTTAATATTTTTATGATTATTTTTAAACTGCATTGTTGGGAAGGGCTCGTAAGCAAGCATTTTACGAAAAGTCTACACCCGTTGTATTCGGCGCATGTGACAAATACAATTTGATTTGACCAAACAGTTTGGTCTGCTTAGTTTTTTTCATTTTTGCCATGGAAAAAGTATTGCGACATTGGTATCGTCACAGCCCTACTTTCAACTCCTTTCAGTGCTCATGGAGAGGGTATTTCACTCTGTCTGACATAACATCTGACATTCTCTCCTTAGCAAATGGAGCGGTTTAAGGTGGTGGAGCGGGAGACAAAGACAAAGGCCTACTCTAAAGAAGGCCTGGGGCTCGCCCTGAAAGTGGACCCAGCTCAGAGGGAGAAAGAAGAGACGGGAAACTGGCTAACGGTAACAGCCTAGCCTCTGAGCCGTTGGTATTTTGACTCATGCATAATGGTAGTGTGTACCGAGCAATGGGTCAGGGGTGGATGGTTCCACACTGGGTCTGGCTTATTTTATGGGTGGTGAGGTCTGTTCTTCTTTTTCACCCACTCTGTCTATTCTTCCCCCTCAGAATACGATAGACACTCTAAACATGCAGGTTGACCAGTTTGAGAGTGAGGTGGAATCCCTCTTCATTCAAACCAGAAAGAAGAAAGGAGAAAAAGAGGTCCGTCTCCTTCCCTCTCATTCCCTATACATGGAACTATTGCTATGTAGTCTAATTAACCAATAAGGCCCGGGGTGTGGTATATGGCCAATATACCACGGCTAAAGGCTGTTCTTAACCACGACGCAACGCGGAGTGCCTGGATACAGCCCTTAGCCGTGGTATATTGGCCATATACCACAACCCCCGAGGTACCTTATTGCTGTTATAAACTGGTTACCAACGTAATTAGAGCAGTACAAATAAATGTTTTGTCAAACCCGTGGTATACGGTCTGATATACCACGGCTGTCAGCCAATCAGCATTCAGGGCTCAAACCACCCAGTTTATAATAATGAATCAGGTATTGGGTTGGGAGATGTTGCTCCTAGACTCTGATCAAAGGTCAGTCTTGCAGTTCCCCCTAAAAGGATTTGGGGAAGGCAAGTTGACCTGAGATCTGTTTCTAAGAATGACTTCTACCTGCATTACAAAAGACACCCGAACAGTTTATAACCACGTGTGCCTGTTTCTCTGGCTGTCTCGTAGAAACAGGATCGCATTGAGGAGCTAAAGAGGTTTATAGAAAGGCATAGGTACCACATACGCATGCTGGAGACCATCCTACGCATGCTAGACAACGACTCGGTGCAGGTGGACTCCATCCAGAAGATCAAGGACGACGTGGAGTACTACATGGAGTCATCACAGGACCCAGACTTTGAGGAGAACGAGTTCATTTACGACGACCTGGATCTGGAGGACATCCGTGAGTCGCCCATGGACAGCCAGGAGCTCGATGACGAGTCCTGGGATGATCATGATGATGATGCTCATGCTATCAGCTGTGGGTCTGGATGAATGGTCCCTCATGAACGTCTGTTGGGTCTGGGTGGATGGATGTCCTCTAATCAACATCTGTTAGCTCGGTTGGCTGTCGGTTTAGAAGACAGCCAGGACGAGCTTGATCTGTGGTGTTTCTATGAGTCTGGATGATGATTGTAAAAAATTATTTACCATATATTAGCGTTCCCCTGAAAATCTTATCATTGAAATAAACCAGTAGTCTTTTCTCTCTGATTTATTCCTTTCTCTCTTTTGTGCTCCCTCTTTCTCTCCCTCTCTAGCTGCAGCGCTGGTGGCCACCTCTCCGACGGGCATGGGGAACATAGAGGATGAGATGTTCCTCCACTCGAGCAGCACTCCCACCTCCACCACCTCCTCTTCCCCCATCCCTCCATCGCCGGCCACCTGCACTGCTGTAAGCACACCTGCCTTCACTGATTGGTTGTTTGTAAAGAAAATACAATCACTTACTTGATCAGTGTCATAAAACATGTACATTGATACTTACACAGGCCCTCTGTAGCTCAGTTGGTAGAGCATGGCGTTTGCAACGCCAGGGTTGTGGGTTCGATTCCCACGGGGGCCAGTATGAAGTCACTCTGGATAAGAGTGTCTGCTAAAATGACTATAATGTAAAAAAATGATATTTACTGTTTGTGCCTGAATGTGTTCTGCAGGAGAACTCGGAGGACGATAAGAGGAGAGGGCGGTCGACAGACAGTGAAGTTAGTCAGGTGAGACAGAGCTTGTATAATATCATATGTTTATAGCTCAACAGAGAACTAGATCTCTTCAGAAATGTAGTTTGACTGTTTCCATGTTCTGTTTGTACTAAACTGATGCTGTGTCATTTTCAGTCTCCTGCGAAGAACGGCACTTCCTCCTTGTTGTTGTCCTTTTCCTCGTCCGCCAATTCCGGGTCGTCCTCTTCTTCCTCCTCTCTTGTCTCTATGGCCGCCGTTGTCGGAGGCAACCCTGTGGTTCCCACAAGCAACAGTCTAATAGGAAGCTTCAGCAGCGCCGTGCAACATCAGCCTCAACCTCCACAGCAACCAATCCAGCAGCCACAGCAACAACCACAACAACTCCAAACAAAACCTTGCACCCCCAGCCCCCCCAGCCACCCCCTCCTCTCCGCCTCCCCCTCTCTCCCCACACCCACCACACCCATCTCAGCCTCCCCAAACTCCCTGCCCCAGGTCTCGTCTGGGCATATCCTCACCTCCAGCCTAGGCCTTGGGTTGGGCCTGGGTAAAGTTGGCATGACGGGGACCAGCAGTGCCAACTCAATGTCTGGTCTGGGCCTGACTGGCATGTCTGCCTCTCTGAACACCATGGCAGGCCTGCTCTCTGGGTCCACCCATGCCCCTTATGCCCAGGCAGCCGCGTCGGGAGGCCTGGGTCTGAGTACCACCACCCAGTCCAGTGTCTCAGTGGAGAGCTCCTCCATCCCCACCTCTTGCTCCAGTGGAGTGACCATCAACGGGGCTGGGACAGGGCTGGGCCTGCTGGGGTCCAGCCCAGCACACGGCTCCCTGACTGGGGGGATCCTGGGCCTGGTACCTGGGCAGAGTGTGATCCCTGGGCCCCCTCAGATCCCTCTCAGCCCAGTCGGTGCTGCCCCTGGAGGGGCAGTGGGGATAATGGGAGGAAATGGAGGAAGCATGGGGCAAATCGGAGGAGGAGTTGGGTCGAATGCAGCCCCTGCCAGACCGCCCAGTGGACTGAAGCAGAACGGAAGCACAAGTATGTTCACTGTGTCTGCGTGGCTGTCTGGGTTTGTCTGTTTCTTTTTCTGGATTTGGGATTGAGCATTAGTAGTGATGTTTCCCCCCTCTTTCCCATGGCCCAGGTTACAGTGCTGTGGTGGCAGAGAGCACAGCAGAGTCCGCCTTCAGCACACCCAGCCAATCACAGAGCAGCCAGCCTTCCTCGTTGACCTCCTCAGCCAGTCAGCCGTAAGTGATGTCAAATTCATCCAAGACCGCAATCATCTGTTCAGTTTTTTGGATGATAAAAATGTCCATATCTCTCTCTCCCTCCCCCCCCCCCCCTCCCTCCCTCAGTATGGACAACGGTCCCAGCCTCATCAGCTCCATCACCTTGCCCCCCAGCTCTCCGTCCCCCTCGTTTTCGGACAGTATTCCCGGTGGTGGGAGTCTCCTCAACGGACCCCACTCCTACACACAGGCCTCTGAGGGCCTCAAGGTGAGGGGAGACAGAGTGGAAGGACAGACAGCCAGACAGGGGTGTGAGGCTGAGAGATGAGCACTTTGTCCTGGTATTGTTAAATGGCCTCATCTACAGTACAACAGATGGATGGAGAGTTGGCCATTAACAGTATGAGAAACAGTGTTTGGTGAACACTAGAACCTCCACGGCAGCCATTCTGACCAAATTGTGGTTGTCTTAAATACAAATACAACTTGGAAACAAACAAACTCACAAAAATACTGATTTTTAAAAAACTTTCTCAGCATAAAGAAAAAGAAACTCACAAAACGTGCTGTACATCACAAAACTCCCACACCACATAACACCAAATATGTTTTTGTCAGCTATTCAGGAGATTTACAGTGATGAAGCCTCTCCTAAATGACTATGTTTCTGTTATTTCTTAGTTAATGAACATGTATTGTAATACCGTTAGAATAACCTGTAGAGACTGCCCTCTGTCCCCAGCTTCCTACAGACCTCCGTCAGATACTGATGGAGACCAGAATGTCAGCGCAGGCCCCAGAGCCGCCAGGGGCCATGGCTACAGTCACAAACACACGAAAGAGAAAGCAGTGTCAGGTAGAGACCCACACACACGGAAATATACACATTCATACTCAACTTACACACACACACACTCCTAAATACATCCACAAAGCCACTAACAAAGGAAACAGAAAGTTGTGACACGTAGACACAGATTTAAATAAACACAATCTCGAACTCTGACACAGACACGCATACACACACAAAATTGAAAGAAATCTGAGGTAGTCAGATATCAGTGCTAGCCAAAAATGTCTGTCAAAGGGAAATAGACATTGCCAAGTGACTGGATTAGTTCCCCCACCAAACACCAAGAACGTACGAAATATAAGATTGAAGGTGCTTATATTCGCTCTGGATAAGAGCGTCTGCTAAATGACTAAAATGTAAATGTAAAGATTGTGTATAGTGTTGAATTAGCAAGGACTCCATGGGATCTTGGATTGGCAGGTTTATTTCATCAGTGTTGGTGCAGTCACTGGCTGGCCGTGGGGGTTCTAGCTGAAGGCATGAGTGTTTTGCTTCACACCATACAGGGAATGGATGGTGGCATGGTACCAAGCTTGTACTAGTATCTCATGGTGGAAGAACTGTTGAATGGTGTATTGGTTTTCATAAATTCACTGTTTTTATCTTTGCCCCTTGCTCTTCCAAACTCCCTCACCCCACTCTCTCTGTCTGTTCCATCCATCTCTCTCCATCTCTCTCTCTCAGGCCCCGGAGCCTCTGAGTTCTCTGAAGGCGATGGCTGAGAGAGCAGCACTAGGATCAGGTCTAGATGGAGAGATCCCCAACCTGCACCTCACAGACAGAGGTCAGAATCAATTCAATTAACAAGTTCCAAATCACATCTTTAAGGCAATACACAAATAAACATTCATGCAATTTGACAAAGCACATGCCAGTTGCAGGTGACATCATTTCTAATTATCTGTCTGTGTTGATGATATCCCCACCAGCTGTAACTCAACCAATCCTCTCCTGTCACTCCTCAGACATCTTCTCTGGTTCGTCGGCTGCCCCCGGCACGCCCGCGGCCCCCCAGCCCTCCCTGTCAGAGGTGAGCATCCCCCCTTCCCTGGGGGTGTGTCCCCTGGGTCCCACTCCCCTCTCCAAGGACCAGGTGTACCAGCAGGCCATGCAGGAGTCTGCCTGGACACACATGCCGCACCCCTCAGACTCCGAGAGGATCAGGTAACAGAACGCCGTCCGCCGGAATATTGGGCTGTAGACACTGGGTTTTCTCTGAGTAGATATTAACATGCACATCTGTGTTACTCTCTCCTGTAGGCAATACCTGATGAGGAACCCGTGCCCCACCCTGCCATTCCATCATCAGATGCCCCCCCATCACTCAGACTCTATAGAGTTCTACCAGAGACTGTCCACGGAGACACTCTTCTTCATCTTCTACTACCTGGAGGTAACACACACACCATCACCACCATCCCCCAGCTGTCCACTCTTGCTTAGTCACTGTGGGGTCCAATTGCTCACTCTCTCTCCTTCTCGCTCTCTCTCTCTCTCAGGGCACTAAAGCTCAGTACCTGTCAGCAAAGGCTCTGAAGAAGCAGTCGTGGAGGTTCCACACCAAGTACATGATGTGGTTCCAGAGGCACGAAGAACCCAAGACCATCACTGATGAGTTTGAACAGGTACAGTAGAACCTTTGTACCTCCTCTGATGTTAGTGTTGGAAGCACCATGGGTCTGTATAGAACAATGAGCCAATGTTGAGCCAACATGTACCTGATGGAAGGTTCAACAAATAACAAATAAGGACTGATTTTAATACTGTCCTCCTCCCTCAGGGCACTTACATCTACTTTGACTATGAGAAGTGGGGCCAGAGAAAGAAGGAGGGGTTCACCTTTGAGTACAGGTACCTGGAAGACCGAGACCTGCAGTGACAGAGGAGCGGAGAAAGAGGGAGAAAAACGTGCTGCTGTTGACATTCCGAGACTGAACTAACTCCATGCTGTGGATAGAGATTGTGATGTGTAGTAGAACCCTGCTCCTAAAATGGAGGATGGCGTCTGTATAGGATGCGTCTCAAATGGCACCCTACTCCCCACATAGTGTACTACTTTGGACCAAATCCCTAGTAGTGGTCTACTGTATGTAGGGAATAGAACCCCCTACCTATATAGGGCTCTGGCCGGAAGTAGTGCACTATATGGGGAGTAGGGTGTCATGACAGATCTGTGCCTGTCTGTGTGAGCACTCAGAATGTGGCATTACATTAGGAAGCTCCATGCATGTTCCCCATGTTATGTTTTTCTTTCCGTTTCAACAACAACAAACTCTGTACCATCCCCCAACTGGAGTATAGAAGCCTTGGACTAAACAACAAGCAAACAAACATTGGATTTGGTTACAAGAGAAAAAAGCCCATCTTGCTTGAATTTACTGTAATTAGTGGTTTAGAATGGAGACATACAGTGGTCTAGCTAGCCAGCAGACAGGGCAAACTGGGCTCCTTTTAAGATGTTATGATGCCTGTTGAATAAGGTCACTATTAGGGATAGTGAGTGATTATCAATAGTTTTATTGATGTTGTCTTGGTCGATAAAACGCTCTGATTGAGAATGACCACGTGACCTCTTCCTTTTGACGGGGATAGAGAGGCCTTATTAGACATTGGATTAAATTGCTATGCAATTGAACTGGTCTCTGCCTCCCTCTCTCTTTACAAATAAAATATTTTAAAGTTTAACTGTAAAAGGAAACGCATCTTCATTGGGGCATTATGTTTGTGAGATTATCTAATAAAGGATTTGTACCTGAAAGAAGCAGAGGTGTGTTGACATGAAGTCTGCCTGATAATGTTCATGGTTTCTATACCATGAAGCACCAGCTACTATTGCCCTTCAAAGCATAACTACTAGTGGAAGGATGAGAACAGTAGAAATAGGATAATTCCTTTTGAGTCGGTGTATATTTACTCAAAAGTGTGTCAACAGTTCTCAGCCTTGCATGTAGTAATCTGTTCAACTCAACCCTATCCTGTGTTATTTTAAATCGCTTCCAAAAGACCCTTATTTGGACAAGACCTCCTGATTCCGCCATTTAAGGCTCTATTCAATCCATATCTCGAAAGTTAAGCGCTAGAGCTTGATAAAAATGTAAAGGCAATGTAACCACGTTGGCAGAGACTGCATTCGCGGTAAATGCTGCACATGTCACATCAATCGGAAATTACCTTTTACATTTTTATTGCGCAATTTTTAACACTTAAGCGATAGATTGAATAGATTCACTGATTAGCAACACTGCGTTCAATTTACTACCCGTTTATACCAAGTGAAAAAAGTAATTTACTGAAATACTTTGTTTTCATAGAATATGAAGCATGCATCAACCATTCAACCTAGAATGTTCTGAAAAAGCTGGTGGTGAATTTGAACTTGGTTAGATGGATTAATAACTTGTGTATGATTAAACTATCATGAACTGTCTCCAGTGATTTAGTCAATTTAGTGGTTGCCCCTGTGAACATAGACATTTCAGTTCTTTCCCGAAGGAGAGGAAAGATTTTTGGAATAAGGAATGGAGAGAAGTTGAGATTTGCCTTTTTATAAATTCTATTTTTGGGCCATTTGAGAAAGGGAAGGCCAGAGATGGCTGAAATGTGAATTTCTCAAGAAAATAAACTATTTACAGGTTGTTTTATCATATGAAGTTGTCACGTTTCTGCATGGGAGATGTCATGTTGGAGTACAAACAGGATTGTAAAATTTCAATAAAATACTTTTCTGAATATGTGACGACTATAAGTGATGTCTTCATGTGTAACGCCAATTATTTTGTATTAGAAGAACCATAAACCTATTTCATAAATAGCAAATTCCTAAAAACACTATTCTATGTTGCTCGAAGCAATCCAACGCTACAGTGCATTCGGAAAGTATTCAGACCCTTTCCCCACATTTTGTTACAGTACAGCCTTATTCTAAAATTGATTCAATTATTTTTTTCCCCTCATCACTCTACACGCAATACCCCATAATGACAAAGTGAAAACACGTTTTTCGAAATGTTTGCAAATGTATAAAAAAAAAACAGAAATACCTTATCTACATAAGTATTCAGACCCTTTGCTAGGACATTGAGCGCAGGTTCATCCTGTTTCCATTGTGGTAAATTAAATTGATTGGACATTATTTGGAAAGGCACACACCTGTCTATATAAGGTCCCACAGTTGACAGTGCATGTCAGAGCAAAAACCAAGCCATGATGTTGAAGGAATTGTCCGTAGAGCTCCGAGACAGGATTATGTCGAGGCACAGATCTGGGGAAGGGTACCAACACATTTCTGCAGCATTGAAGGTCCCAAGAACACAGTTGCCTCCATCATTCTTAAACGGAAGAAGTTTGGAACCACAAAGACTCTTCCCAGAGCTGGCCGCCAGGCCAAACTGAGCAATTGGGGGAGAAGGGCCTTTGTCAGTGAGGTGACCAAGAACCAGATGGTCACTCTGACAGAGCTCCAGAGTTCCTCTTTGGAGATGGGAGAAGAAGAATAGGAGAAACTCCCCAAATACAGGTGTGCCAAGCTTGTAGCGTCATACCCAAGAAGACTCAAGACTGTAATCACTGCCAAAGGTGCTTCAACAAAGTACTGAGTAAATGGTCTGAATACTTATGTAAATGTGATATTTCCATTTTATATATATATATACACACACAACCAGTCAAAAGTTTGGACACACCTACTTAGTAGGACTATCATTTGTTTTTCAACAGGACAATGATCCTAAAACACCTCCAGACTGTCTAAGGGCTATTTGACCAAGGAGGAGAGTGATGGAGTGCTGCATCAGATGACCTGGCCTCCACAATCACCCGACCTCAACCCAATTGAGATGGCTTGGGATGAGTTGGACCGCGGAGTGAAGGAAAAGCAGCTAACAAGTGCTCAGCATATGTGGTATCCTTCAAGACTGTTGGGAAAGAATTCCAGGTGAAGCTGGTTGTGAGAATGCCAAGACTGTGCAAAGCTGTCATCAAGGCAAAGGGTGGCTATTTGAAGAATATCAAATGTAACATATTTTGATTTGTTTAACACTTTTTTGGTTACTACATGATTCCATGTGCCATTTCATAGTTTTGATGTCTTCACTATTATTCTACAATGTAGAAAATAGTAAAAATAAAGAAAAACCCTGGAATGAGTAGGTGTCCAAACTTTTGACTGGTACTGTATATATAAATATATATACACACACACTTTTGTATACATTTCTAAAAACCTGTTTTTGCTTTGTCGTTATGGGGTAGTGTGTGTAGATTGAGGGAACAATTTTAAAATCCATTTTAGAATAAGTCTAAAGTAAACAAAATGTGGGGGAAAAAAATCAAGGGGTCTGAATACTTTCAGAATGCACTGTATACATTCAGTAATGAGACGAGGCAGTATTAGTTTCATTTTATTAAAATGGAGTCAAAATGTTTTTTTTAAAAGCACAACACGCTCTAAAACAAATATACAATCTAAATAATATATTTTTCTTCACTGTCATGGTCGATCTTCTCCCCATGGTTATGCAATGAGGCCTTTTCCATCAGTCAGTGTTTATGTGTGTCACTCCCCATCTGTGCATTCATTTGGAAATACACTGCTCAAAAAAATAAAGGGAACACTTAAACAACACAATGTAACTCCAAGTCAATCACACTTCTGTGAAATCAAACTGTCCACTTAGGAAGCAACACTGATTGACAATAAATGTCACATGCTGTTGTGCAAATGGAATAGACAACAGGTGGAAATTATAGGCAATTAGCAAGACACCCCCAATAAAGAAATGGTTCTGCAGGTGGTGACCACAGACCACTTCTCAGTTCCTATGCTTCCTGGCTGATGTTTTGGTCACTTTTGAATGCTGGCGGTGCTTTCACTCTAGTGGTAGCATGAGATGGAGTCTACAACCCACACAAGTGGCTCAGGTAGTGCAGCTCATCCAGGATGGCACATCAATGCGAGCTGTGGCAAGAAGGTTTGCTGTGTCTGTCAGCGTAGTGTCCAGAGCATGGAGGCGCTACCAGGAGACAGGCCAGTACATCAGGAGACGTGGAGGAGGCCGTAGGAGGGCAACAACCCAGCAGCAGGACTGCTACCTCCGCCTTTGTGCAAGGAGGAGCAGGAGGAGCACTGCCAGAGCCCTGCAAAATTACCTCCAGCAGGCCACAAATGTGCATGTGTCTGCTCAAACGGTCAGAAACAGACTCCATGAGGGTGGTATGAGGGCCGACGTCCACAGGTGGGGGTTGTGCTTACAGCCCAACACCGTGCAGGACGTTTGGCATTTGCCAGAGAACACCAAGATTGGCAAATTCGCCACTGGCGCCCTGTGCTCGTCACAGATGAAAGCAGGTTCACACTGAGCACATGTGACAGACGTGACAGAGTCTGGAGACGCCGTGGAGAACGTTCTGCTGCCTGCAACATCCTCCAGCATGACCGGTTTGGCGGTGGGTCAGTCATGGTGTGGGGTGGCATTTCTTTGGGGGGCCGCACAGCCCTCCATGTGCTCGCCAGAGGTAGCCTGACTGCCATTAGGTACCGAGATGAGATCCTCAGACCCCTTGTGAGACCATATGCTGGTGCGGTTGAACCCTGGGTTCCTCCTAATGCAAGACAATGTTAAAAGTGTTCCCTTTATTTTTTTGAGCAGTGTACAAGTTGGTATGTCTGTATATCAGCACCGCTGTGTGGAAGTATATGGTGTGTATGATGAATTGTATGTGTACTCCTCACTTTCCCTCTCCCTCCTTCTTGACCTTGAGGAACTCTGCCATGTTGGAGAAATATTTCTGGTTGGCCTCAGCCACCTTCTTCTCTGCTGCATGCGGGTTCACGATCTCCAGCCCCTGAGGAACAGAGTTGAATTACAGTACAATTCCACCACAAACAGAAACGAGGAGGCCACGCCTGCTGGTCAATGCTCACGTTACTGGTGATTAAGTGCTTTGTTTGTTGAAATAATAAAACCAAATACCTGTAGCTTTTTTCATGTGAAAACAAAACCAATTAGGCCTACCTGTAGTGGAGTGAAGGCTACGCTGGAGCTGGTTCCTGAGGAGTTGTCTCTAACCGAGGACCTCCCGCCGACTGTGGACCTCGCGCCGACTGTGGACCTGCTGCCAACTGTGGACCTGCCGCCAACTGTGGACCTGCCTCCGTACGTCATGTTCTGCTTCTGCAGCTTCCTCTGTAGGGACTTTGATATCCTGGCCTTGGTGGCCTCGTTGACCTGAGCCTGTCTGATGCGGCCGCTGCCCGACTTCCCCAGCTGGCCCAGACTGAAACCCAGATCCTCCTGGTACGCATCATCCTCAATCTGAGAGAAACAGAGACGAAGAGGGGGTGGTTGGTTAAAAAGACCAATACATATTATTTGTAATTAAACATAGTAAAATATAGTAAACAGCTGTCCTGAAAGATAGATTAGATGCTCTGACCTCTGCGAAAGTCATCCTGTTGGCGTGTTTCCTGATCTCTGTCAGACCCAGACGCTCCTTCATTTTACGATACCTGGACAAGGACAGACAAGAGATGAGACCACCAATACTGTTTAACATTGCACTTAGAAAAAAATTACAACTCAGGACCACAGTTATCTACACATCCCTAAAGTAAATACCTCCGTCCTCCTCTCTTCTTCCTCTGTCCGTCCAACGGTGCTGGCAGGGGTTTGACAGTCTTCACTGGTGGAGGCTCCTGCCATTTATCAAACTTCTTCTCAATCTCCTCTTTCAGGTCATAGCCCACCTGCAGAGAGAGAAAAAAAGACCAGAGTTAATATATAACAGACGTTTATATATCCATTTTTTCTTCCCTCTTCCAGCCCTCACCTTGCCGTCTGCACTCTCGTGGAAGCTGTCTACTCGGGATGCCAGGGTGCACTTAGCTGAAACCAGACGTGCTGCCTTTCTCCTCAGGTCCTATAACAACACAGAGATAACTCTTGTTAGCTTAGGTAAAGCCACAGTCAAACAAAGCTCTTGGGAACACAGCTCCAAGTGTGGTACACTGACCGGGGGTAGAGTCTGGACCACATCACAGTGGTAGATGTAGCCGGTGTGTGGGAACAGAGCGGTGCTGCTGAACCCTGACAGGGTCCTCTTCTGGGCTCCCAGTAGCATCAGGTTACAGGCTGGCATCTTAGACAGGTTGGTCAGGCCCCCAGCAATACCTACCACCACAGGGAGGAAGAATACGAGATTATCATTATGTGAGAACGTGAGAATCCTGTAAATTATATACAAAAACAAATCATCATAATCACTGACCCATGATCTTGGCTGCGGTCGAGGCTCCAACGATGACTGACAGATTAGGAGCGATGAATGACATCCTGGACTCCACATACTCATAGATCCTGTGTTTTGATTGGTTCAGCTCTAGCGCCATGTCACAGGCCTCTTCCAACCTCTTCAGTTCATCCTCACCCAGCATCGTCCTGGAAATAAGTCATGTTGATATTTCAACATCATTGAGATAGAAACAATATATGGAAAGGTGGTCTGCAACCAAATGGATGTTAAGGTTCCCTGTTGTGTATATAATGTAAGGTCTATTTATCATATTTCTATCTGAACATTATGTAAATGTGTACTCCACCGAATAGGTACTCGGTCCCATCGGTGGACCTGTCCAACTGAATCAACCCCAGGTGTCCCTGCTCTTACCCCTGTGTGGTGGAGGCTGTGATGTGTCCCTGCTCTTACCCCTGTGTGGTGGAGGCTGTGATGTGTCCCTGCTCTTACCCCTGTGTGGTGGAGGCTCTGATGTGTCCCTGCTCTTACCCCTGTGTGGTGGAGGCTGTGATGTGTCCCTGCTCTTACCCCTGTGTGGTGGAGGCTGTGATGTGTCCCTGCTCTTACCCCTGTGTGGTGGAGGCTGTGATGTGTCCCTGCTCTTACCCCTGTGTGGTGGAGGCTGTGATGTGTCCCTGCTCTTACCCCTGTGTGGTGGAGGCTGTGATGTGTCCCTGCTCTTACCCCTGTGTGGTGGAGGCTGTGATGTGTCCCTGCTCTTACCCCTGTGTGGTGGAGGCTGTGATGTGTCCCTGCTATTACCCCTGTGTGGTGGAGGCTTGATGTGTCCCTGCTCTTACCCCTGTGTGGTGGAGGCTCTGATGTGTCCCTGCTCTTACCCCTGTGTGGTGGAGGCTGTGATGTGTCCCTGCTCTTACCCCTGTGTGGTGGAGGCTGTGATGTGTCCCTGCTCTTACCCCTGTGTGGTGGAGGCTGTGATGTGTCCCTGCTCTTACCCCTGTGTGGTGGAGGCTGTGATGTGTCCCTGCTCTTACCCCTGTGTGGTGGAGGCTGTGATGTGTCCCTGCTCTTACCCCTGTGTGGTGGAGGCTGTGATGTGTCCCTGCTCTTACCCCTGTGTGGTGGAGGCTGTGACGCTGACCACCATGATGGTGGCGTTGGTCAGGATCTGCTGCAGATTCTCGTTGTTCTTACACTTGTCCAGGTTGTTCCCCAGCTCCTACACACACAAACATGGTGTTCAGCTCAACAGCAGGGAACAGAGGGAAATTAATATTTGACAGAGTTTAAATAATGTAGACACATTTTGATTTGGAGGTGAATTATCCTCAAACATAAGCTCACCTTGACAGTACGGACGTAGTCCAGAGAGTTGGGCACCAGAGACTCCAGCTCAGGGAACCTCTTGGAATACTTGTCACGGACAAACTTGTGAATGATGTCTGACGCAAAGACAAACAAAGATTACAACATTAGACATAATGCAACAAGCAAATTACAGCGGCATATTGACACACAATCACTTATGGACATAGTGGACTCACTCAGTTCGTTCTCAATTTCTACTGTGAGGTTATTGGCAGAAACGATCAGCCTGTATTCTGGGTCTGCCTCAACTGGACCGGAGACTGAAGAGAAAGGGAGGAGAGTCAGTAAAACCACAAGATGGAGGATCAGAAACCATTCAAGTAGAATCAGAATCCATTGTATTCAGAGTGGAACATAAACCCCAGAACGAGACATCCAAACAGCCAATTATAGAGCTGCCCGAGCAGACTAGGTGAAAAATCACACGATGTGCCCTTGAGCAAGGCACTTAATCCTAATTTGCTCCAGGGGCACCGTACTACTATGGCTGACCCTGTAAAACAAGCCTATTCGGTGTATGTGACAACAAATACATAAAACAGTAAATAATCACCTTCAGAGTTCTTGCGCTGCTTCTCAACATAGATTGCAATTTTGTCCATGATCTCTGAGAACTGTAAACGAATAAATTGTGGGTTTTCAAAACAAACCTTGGGAAATAGCTTATTTGTTCTAGAACAGGGTTTCCCAAACTCAGTCCAGGCCCCCTTGGGTGCATGTTTTGGTTTTTGCCCTAACACTACACAGCTGATTCAAATAATCAAAGCTTGATGAGTTGGTTATTTCAATCAGCCGTGCAGTGCTAGGGCAAAACTAAAACATGCACCCAGGACCCAGTTTGGGAAACCCTGTTGTAGTATATTGACTGTACACAGCTCCACACACACTACCCTGACCTGTTTGCTGTTGCGTAGTTTAGCGATGGACGAGACACTCTCAGCTCCGCTGTAGTCCACCTCCATCTCCTCTGGGATGTCCTCCAAACCTCCCTCTACCTGTCCCTCCCCCGCCTCCCCATCACTCTCCCCCTCTTCCCCCGGGTACAGCCCGTCCTCCCCCTCATCCCCCGCCTCCTCCAGATCAGCCAGGAGCTCATCGGCCAGAGACATCTGCAGGAAAGGAACGACAATGTGGGACAAGGCTATGTGACATTGGGAGGGATATGGAAAGTAAATTCCTAGCTAGCCCACAGCTGAGCGCGCAACACACACAGTGTAAATTACCTAGAGCAAAAATGTGTGCAAAGGCCAAATGAGAGAATCTAGAATCTTTACCATAAAAACAGTTAACTATGGGTTTTAATTTATTCATTTATAACTAGCTAACTTTAGCTGGCCTCGCTGGATAACCGTGGCTATAATAGCAGGTAGCTAGCTAAATCTAGCTAGCTAGTTAAATAACAGGGAAACGTTAGCAAGTTAGCTGAAATTATACGGCACAAACATATGAGAACTTACCTTTGGAGTTTGAAACTCCTGCCGTCAAAAGAAAAGCTACAAATCCAACAACTTTCGAAATGCGTTCGACGTTTACAAATGTTTGCTTGTGTTATCAACGTTGCCTCTGTAGCGAGTCGCAGACGAAATGCGTCATCATAAATAATCCAATGGGTGGTCAGAGGTTTGTGACGTTATGTTGAGTCTTGAGCAAGGCTTTATGGGAATTGCTGTTTTTATCCGTAGTACAGGCCACTATCAGACATGGATAAATGTGAATGGTCTTCATCTCACTCATATTTCCAGTCTTAATGCTTTCTATATTCAATGGCAAGTCATTCTGTCTTTTATTTTGGAGATTAGTTATTCAACCTATCCTTGACCATCCTTTATCCCAATTTCATAATAGGCATCAGGCCCCCATAACCAGAGATGGGGGATGGGAAATAAGATTAGCTATTGTTATGCAACATCCCTTGAGCCATCCATTGTTAGCTACATAATACAGTAGTTTGATCCTTCATTTCAGACAAAAGCCAATAAAGCATCTAGAGAAGACCTACTGTTTGAACACCAGTCCAGTCTCCTTTGACACAAAAGGAATACTCTGACTTAAGAATATAAGACAGTACAATTTATTTTCATAAAACAGTTCAATAAATGTTTCACAGTTTTTATGTTGTTTTTATTTCCCCTGGTTTTATACAGTATCCCATGAAACCCATTCTTTAAACAATACAGGTTTTAAACGGATGTTGAAACAGACTAAACAAAGGGACTAGTTGGAGCTTGACTGCATGATGGGTTGTTATTAGTAGAAAATGAATGTAAATCAACAAATACATTAACTTTTGGAGATATTTACCGATGAGAAGCTTCCATTTTATCATGCTAAGCTACATCAATTGTCCTCAAACAAAGTAAAATTATGACAAGACAACTATACATTGAATCATATTAGAAAATAATGAAACATGTTATAGATACATTAGAGCAGGGTTTCCCAAACAATATTTACATAGCATGGAAATGATTTTTAAATAAATAAATAATCAATTAAATAAATAATAGCTAGACATAGTCTTTTAGAATAAAAGTATATAGAAACAGCTTGTTTTCATCTTTTCGTGCAGTCTAAGAATACATCTAAATTAAACAGCTCTAAAATGATATTGTATACACTTGTATCACTATCTTTGTACAAATGTTGAATGAGTATGCTCAAATACAGGAGTTAGGATGTTTTCTGGCCCCAACTGCTGCCTAAAAATATGACTGACTGCAATGAAAATCGTTTTTTACAAACTTAAGATTTAAATCCAAGCTTACACATAGACAGATACATGACTAAAAGAAAGTGCATCCCCCAGTACATACTGGGTAAAGACAACCGAAAGAAGCAGGTAAAGAGAAGGTAAGCTGGTACACAATGACTCCCATTGCATAGCCGTCAAATGCGTTTCAGATTTTACAAAGCTCCAGACTCTTCTTTGTCTAGGACAAACTGCCTTTGCCATCAACCCCTTCCAGCCAGTGTCTATAAATCGACCCTTGGAGACAGTGGCAAAGGGAAGGAGTTATTGTATCAACAACCTTTCTCGTACAAGGACCGGTAGCTGGTAAAACCTGGAATGTGTCCAGCTTCTAGAACGGGAGTCTTTTCTTTCCGTTGCCTGATCGATAAAAAAATAGCCTCTGAGAATGGTTATGGTTGGGGTGGGAATCCACTGGCCACTCTCAGAAGGTTCCTGTTCTGAGGGTTACAGAACAACTCGGAGGATTCTGGAACCCTGCCTCACACCAAGTGGGGGATCATCGGCTGGGCTGACGGTAAAACGCGAGGATGTCACAGGGTTGGCCCCCACGGGCGACCTCGGTTTGACTGACAAGTCCCCTTTTCTTTTGGAGTCTTTGCCTTTGCTGTTTGCTCCTGGTAGAAAGACAGGAGCATGGTGTAAGTAAGGGAATTACGGAATTACTGTACTACAACTATGACATACAAAATCATACTGTACTAGGGTTGGAGAAAATTCCATTTGAATTCAGGGGATACATTATAACACATTTCATAAAATCGAATTGACCCCTGCAACATAAAACATAAACAAAAGCATAAAACAGTAAATGTTATTTAAAAAATATATGTAAGATTTTTTTTGACATAAATGGTATATCATTAGTTAATATACTGTATATGTGTGTACAAACATCCTCTTGCAGAACCGAAGCACAAAAAGGCCCACACTCCCAAGTTAAAAATAAACTTTCTCTCCTTGCAAAGCTTTGAACTGTTCAACTCTGCATGCTGACAAAGATCATGAAAGTATATTATTTTGGTGTTGATGCTTTTCTATATACAGTCTATTCAAAACACCCAGAGGGGATCAGCCAAAACTCTCATTATTCTGTGAAATGAAGCGATCAGTGGGAGAGACTGAGAGCGGACGGCTTCTGGAGATAGGGTGGAAAACACATTTAGACGTGTATTGTTGAGCACCAGATTTATGTCCCCACTCAATTTCCCATGTCACAGTGTGTGGGGGATTTTTATTTTTGTATTTTACCTTTATTTAACTAGGCAAGTCAGTTAAGAACAAATTCTTATTTACAATGATGGCCTACACCGGCCAAACCCGGACGACGCTGGGCCAATTGTGCGCCGCACTATGGGACTCTTAATCACGGCCGGTTGTGATACAGCCTGGAATCGAACCAGGGGGTCTATACAGGGGATAATTACAAGAGATACATTTTGGGGGTGAATATTTAGAAAAAGGGTTGGTGTGAGGTGTTCTCAATTTCAGTGGGTGGGGATCAGATGGGAGCTTTCCAATAGGTGCTCGCTATTGTAGTGATTTCATCAAACGTTTTCTATTCGCTCTCAGAAGTGAATGATGTACAGGACCGTTATATGGTTTCTAATAGCAACATGCATGCATACGTAGTACGTACCATGTAAATCTAATTTAGTGCTTTTGCCAGGAGCTGGAGCTGGAGCTGGATTAGTGGGGGTGGAACTACTCAGCTCACTGGTTGGAATTTCCTGTTTCAGAAACAGAGATGAAGAGTCAGGGACTGAAACAGAGCTGAGACAGTACATGTACATCCAATATAGTGAAAGTGAGTAACTTGACTCAATATATGAGGGGGGAAAAAACTAAACAAACACCTGATCAAAGAGATAGACAGTGACATCATCAAAAAAGGAGACGTTTCTCCCTCTGTCTTTCTCTTTGTCTATCGGTTCCCTTGGTGACTTCAGCAGACTCCTAAGCCCCACCCTTTTGCCAACGTCTGTTTCCGTGACAACAATCACCCTCCTGGAGCCTTCGTCTTCCGGCTCTTCTTCCTCATCCTCATCGGGGTCACTTCCTGTGGACACACCCCTCCGTCTCCCACTCCTGTCTCTGTGTAGCCCCCCCTCCCTGAACCCTCCCTTGGGACTGGAGGAGAGAGGGAGAGCAAGAGGGAGAGGAGGGAGGGAGAGGGAGAGGGACAGGCGAGCCAGTTTGGCTGTAAAAGAAAAGAGAGGAATAGATAAAAAACTGAGACATGAAAGATTGTGTCAAAAAGCAATCTATCCATTAGAACATGTCATTTACACACACAATTTACACACCTGCAGAGCGGGTGAATGTGAACAATGCTACATCCTATTTCATAAAAATCTTCACACACAAAAAAAGTCTGGAGGTACCTTTCATTGCTTGGTTTGCCACAGGCTGAAGGGGTGTAACTTCTGGCTGCTCGATCACAGTCAGTGGTTCACTGTCAGTCGAATCAGACTCACTCTGGGGTTCAGAACTGGGTTCGGGGTCCGGCTCCTCTTCGCTAAGAACAGAAAAAAAGACCTCTTATTTTATTATCTGTCTGTCTGTCATCATTCACCACAATAGTTTGATAAATCTCAAAATACATAGAGAGCAGTGGAGGCTGCTGAGGGGAGAACGGCTCATAATAATGGATGGAACGGAGCCAATGGAATGGCATCAAACCATGTGTTTGATGTATTTGATGACATTCACCTATTCCGCTCCAGCCATTACCACGAGCCCCTCCTCAACGATTAAGGTGCCACCAACCTCCTGTGATAGAGAGCGCATACCTTCCTACATCCTTCACACTGACTGTGTCTCCGCTCCCATTTAAGGGCTCGTCCCCCCATGGGCGGAGAATGACGCTGTCGCTCACTGTCGCCCCCCGAAGGATGTTCGTTTTAACATTCTCACAGAGAGAGAACTGCAGTCTCTCCTCACACACCTGAAGAAAGGGAAACAGATAATAGTGGTATGAACGTTAAAACATATTCAGGAAAATGTATATTGTAAATTGTGTAGGCTTATACTTTCATACATGTACAAAGTTGTGCAACTTGGGGTTAAAACGCAAGGCTAATGCTCACCTGCATCATTAGGCCATTTTTAGTGGGCATCTTGGAAAGTGACCTCTGGTCCTTGGAGTCAGGAGAATGACATGGTGAAAGGGCTGATGGGAACTGTAGTTCACGCTTCTCCTCCTGAGGTGAAAGTTTGGCCCCAGTTGGGATATCCTGGACCGCCGATGGAGCCAACCTGGCCAGCCAGTCAGCGCTCTCAGAGATTCCGTCAACTTCCTCTTTCAGTTCCACTCTCCTCTTCCCTTCAGGCATGAAGGTCCCAAAGGTCTCTTCACCTTTAACACTCTCCCCAGCGCTCTTAGCTTTCTGTTTAGGCGCCTTCTTCATAGAATCCAACAGCTCCAGATTCCCCAGGAAGAGGTCACCCAGGGTGTCCTCTTCATCCCCGGATATGCAGCACAGCTGCTCCAGTTTCTCAAAATCCTCCAAAGGCTCCTCGTCCAAATCCTTCCACTCAGAGATCAACATCTCCGGGATGGTGTTGAGGGGACTCTGGGGGAATGACGGGAGGGTGGTGGTGGTGGTGGCGGTGGTTGTGCTTTTCTGGGACAGGTTATTTCTGTCATCCTCGGACATGTTGGATGTGAGGCGGCTCTGGTTCTGGCTTTCGTCTGAGAATAATGGAAGTTTTGGACGCACAGGTGAAAGGTCGAGGTTTGCAGAGATCCCTCTGCTGTGGGTTGTGGTGGGTGGTAAGGGGATATCAGTGTGAGGAGTGGGGGGCATTGGTGGGTCTGTCTCAGCACTGGTAATGAAATCTGACCCTAAATCATCAAGGTTTATAAGACCGCTATCGTCCTCTATTTCTACAACAGAAGGTGGGGGACTAGGAAAAGAATCATCCAAACTCTGCAACCTGTCTTCTTGCATATCAAGGTCTATGCTAGGAGGAGGGCTGGGAAAGTCTACAGAACTGAACTGAAAGTTGTCTCCTTGTGAACCAGACAGATCTGTACAAGAGACTATATCCTCCAAGCCATTATCATTGGGATAAGACACAGGGTCACATGGAAGAGATATGTCTCTCAAATCCTCACCTGTGTTTACAATGACTACTCCCCCTTCTCTGTCCTCCCCCACAAGCTGGTGAGTAGAGGCAGCTTCTTCAATGCGTATCCTTGGCTCAATATCTTCTAATCCTGACAAATCTACCTGTGGTACTCCAGTGAGGCAGATAGATACACCCAAATGTATACTCTTTACTGTGGGAGCAAGATGGTTGTCTAATTCAAAGTCCTGTTCTTTTTCTATGTTATTTTCGGCCATTGCCCCTTCTTCCATTTGGACTTCACTGAGATGATTCAACCTGTTGAAGTTCTGATTTCCCTCGTCTAGAGGAATGTTTCCCTCCAAGTCGTTTAGAAGAGATGCAGTTTGACTTTCACTGTCTCCACCCGTCTCCGTGAGTGACCTGAACTGCTCCCTCCCTCTTGCAAAGGTCTCATGCTCTGGGATTTCTCGGTTTTCGACCTCAACCGCCAGCTGATTACCTTCAACATTTTGCTCATCATCGTCAAACCTATCTGGATTTTCTATATTTTCCTCTTGCTGTACATCTAGTGCCTGGGATAGTTGGCTGTCAATGCTAATGGAGAGAGCCTGTTTCTGGGACAATTCTCCCTCCATTTCCAGGTAGGCTGCCCGTCCCTGCCTCTGCCTCTCGTCATTAGAAGTATCTTCACTATCTTGGAGGACGGCTGGATGAGGCTCACTCCCCGCCAGTTCATCGTTCTCCTCAGCCTCCCAGAATTCCCGGCCTACCACCAGCTGCTCCCTCTCCTCCCAGGCCTTTCCGAACCCTGAGAAGAATTCCAACCCGAGTTCAGCTTCCTGGTTTCTGTTCTCCGGCGAGGCCCACTGATCGTTCTCCGATGGCCACAGGTGCAGGTCTCCCTGCTGGAAGCGATGACAGTCGAACTCCCCCCTCACCGCTCCTCCCCCTCTCCCCTCGTCCTCCTCCAAAGTGTTCCACAGCTCTTTAGCCTTCAACTCCAGATCCTTTGACGACTCCCTGTCCACAGTCTCAGCAGACCCATCCCTGCTCAAAGACCCACTCTGGCTCCCTGTCACTGGTCCTCTCTGAGGAGATTTCTCCTTCATGGCGTTACACAGCTCTCCAGCGGCAAGCTGTTTCTCTGTCTCTGATTTGGCCTTGGCCCTCTCGTCTTCGCTCTCCTCTGAGTAACACAGGTTTCTCAGGCCAAGCTCATTGGCGTCTGTGTGTTGAATCTCCAGACCTTTCCCTTCTTCTCTTTCAGACCCCTCAGTGTCCCCCTCGGCCCAGAAAGAACAGGCCAGTTTGCTCTCTTCGTCATTGGTGCTCTCTCCATCATTGGGCTCCAGTACTACCGGAATATTGTCACTGAGTTTGACCTCGCTGGTTTGAATACCATAGAACCTAGATAGCCTGGACTCTCTGTTATCATGGTCACCGTGTGACGCTGTCACTGGTTCCGTAGTGTCATTTACGGAATGATCATTGTCTCTCTCTTCAATACCTGGAAGTTCTTCATTCTCAAGTTTGTTATCCTTTGTCTGAATGCCAGATATTGATTTCAAACAATCTGTCTTAGTGGTATTATTAGAAGGCAATGTCAAGTCTTTGTCTGTGGAATCATGGAATCTAAAATCATTTGACTCCACATGAGAAATCACACCTTCTGTGTAATGATTACCAATTTGAGTTCCATCATTGTAAGGGAACCCTTTGAGAGGTTCATCATCTAAATTAGAGAACAGCTTAGCTATAAACTCATTGTTATCCTTGCTCTGTGAGTTATCAGACAGTAGTCGCGAATGGACTAGCCTCTTTTCATCTGACTCTCCCCTCTCATTGTGGAATATTCCAGAATCTTCTCTCTGTTCTGATTCTAGCCCTGTTTTATGTTCTACTTCATTCAGACTGAGATCGTTCTCTTGAATACTTGACCTGTCTTTATATCCACCATCACTGTTTTGAGAGATATCCTGCACATGAGCATTCTGTTCAAGAACTGTCTCCTTTTCCCTCTCAATTTCAATTCCCTTATTTGAAATCCTCTTCAAGGGACTCTTTCCCCCGGTTTCTCCCTCATCCTCCAATTCTGTCTTCTCTTCTATTCCTGTCAGCGTCCCCCTCTCTCCGCCTCGTCCGCTGCTGGGTCTGGTCACGCTCAGTCCATCACTGCCCTTCCTGCTAAGCCCCTCCCCTTCCCAGTCACTGTCAGAGAAGTAGGCGGAGTCTCTGTGGGGGGTTTCTGTCCCCAGAACCCTCCAACCACCTGGTATTTCCCCTCCAACACACGGGTCACCTGGAGTCAGACAGTCGGCTGAACTGGGGGTCAAAGATGAGAGGAATGAGTCTGAGGGGGTCATGGTGGATAGAGAGAGGTCAGAGGATGAGTCCCAGTCTGGGGTGGTGGGAGCGGCTGCAGGGCTCTTTTGACTTGGGTCTGACCTTCCTTCTTGGTTGATCTGTGAATTCTGTCTGTTGATTTCTAAATAGCTTTCAACATTTGGGTTGTGTGACTGAGCATTAGAACAATGTGATGTGTCGCTCTTCATTTGACTGTCACAACCTTTTGAACTCTCTGACCCTTCTTCCTTGTGATCTTTAGATTCAATTTGACATGCTCTATCTGTTTCTGATGTCTCTGTTTTTAAGTCATGTAAATTTTCATCAACAACTTCCTGCTTCTGACATCCTTGCCCTGTATCTCTGACCTCAGCATAACCTTTCATTCTCTCACAATTCCTTTTCCCAACATTATTCTGACCCCTGCTCTCTGTCTCATCTACAGAAATAGGTGACTCATCATCACAGGGTTTCTTTTCAGATTCTTCCACTTCTCCAGTAACGCTGTCCTGAGATGAAGACTGAACTTGTGATTGTCTTGAGAGCTCTACCCTATCTCTAACTCTCTGTGTTTCTCTTACAGGTAAGGCTGGACCTACTGAAACGTCCTCCTCTGTTTTCGTACTGGGGGACGTTTGGTCAAGGAGGAGGCCGTTTTTGGGCTTTATCTCTGAGAACACAAAATCACCAGGCTGGGGCTGAGAGTCTGGGTGAGAGTTGGTGTCAGCGGTGGGATCTGTGAGTGAGCTGGGTGAGTCGTTGAGGCAGGTCATGTCTGTGGGAGATTCCTCTTCCTTTTGACAGACTGCTTATTTGATCCTATTTGCAGTACTGGGATCTCAGGCCGTATAGTGACCTTTATCTCACTCTTTTTTGCACGTTTGGTCACTTGGGCGTAAATGGCCTCCGGTGCTACATCGTCTTTGCCTCTGTTTGACGCACGTATGGAACTCTCTGATTGGAATCTGATGGTCTGAGAGGAGTCAGGATCGATGCATATTGACTCATATTCTGGTGACATTGGAGTGGGTGACTGAGACAAGTCCTCGCAATGCTTGTTGGAGGCGGTTGCGTTTTGTCTCGATATGATCTCCGTCAAAAAGGTCTCTGCTGATTGGATCTCCTTCAGGAACTCCTCTCTGGTCATCTCTCCCTTCTGCGTCTCCTTCTCCATCTCCTGTGACTCTGACTCCTGCCTCCCCACAGTGATTTCGGAGAGGAGGGATCGGGATCTCCTCATGCCCCTGGAGTATGCCTCCTCGGCCTCGGCGTAGGACGGGAGGCCGGGGGCGCTGGTATAGGTGTAGGTGTAGGGACGCGATCTGGAGCCAGGAGGGTGGAGGAACTTCACCGGGTCTCTCTCCGGATCTCCCTCCATGTCTGCATCTGTCCTTCCTATGTCTGTGATCTCAGTGAGGAATAGATCTCTCTGGATGGATCCTTTCCTCACCCTCTCCACCTCTGTCCCCATCTGTGTGTTTCTGTCTGGCCCCCATGTCTGTTCTGCAGAGCCCAGCTCTGTGACCAACGACCGGGACCGACGCATCCCCCCTCTCAAGGGCTGGAGGAAGTTCCCTGAGCTCTCCCCATCCCTTTTCTTCTCCCGCTCTGTCTCTCCCTCCCATGAGGTCCTTCCCTCCTCGGACTTGGCATCATTTGACTCTGACACACTAGAGATCTCAGTCAGAAACAGGTGCATGGGGGATTTCTTGGCGTCGGTTCCGCTATCCGCCTGCAGTTCCGCGTCCTCCCTCCAGATGGCAGGCAGGATGGTGGCTAGGCGCGACTGGGTCCTCTTCATACCCCTGGAGAAGAGCTCGGCTGTGGCCGGGTCCGTATCCTCTGACACGCTAGAGGTCAGGACGGTCGTCCCTCCCCCACTTGGTTTCTCAGGGGACATAAAGGGGGAGTCATCCTCATCTGAATAGGTGGGACTGGAGGATGAGTGCCTCTCAATTCTGGGGACCCCGGACTCGGAGCGGGATATGTTACGGTAAACAGGGCGAAATACGTTCTGGCGTCGTACGGGAGAGTCATAGTCTTTTGAGCGGAAATTGGATGTTCCCTTTGTGTTGTGCAAGGATGCTGCGCGCCGTACACCACCTTGTCGGTCTGAGTAGTCACAGGATAGTGGGTCTCTTTGAGAGTACATCTGGGGCTTACTGTATCTGGAGTAGCTACCTACACCATAGCTGTGATACAGGCCCCTTTGGGGCTTGTAGTGGGGTGGGAGAGGGGGAGGATATGTTTGGGGAGTGGGGTAGATGGGGTGGCTGGACTGGGGTAGGGAGGGGGAGAGTGACGGGGAGGGGGGCATGGTCTGACGAGGACGGTGGAACCCTAAGTGATTATATGATGATGGCAGGCAGCTGCCCATCAGAGGGTCCATCGTTTCTATCTTACCACTCATGGAATAGTGACCCAGTCCAAGCCCTACTCGGTGGTAGCCCAACGGAGGCGCAGGGAGGGGACGCGAGTGGAGATGGTTGCCCGAGGAGATTGACATAGAACGGGGCTTGGGAGGGAGGACAGGAGCCTGAGAACCAGTGGATGACCTTCTGTCTCCTTCACCCCCCTCCTCCTCATCATCATCTCCTAAATCCACCACAGAGAAGTCAGTCACTCTACTGGAGGTGTCTTTGAACTCTGCCACCCCAGTGTTGGGGACCCTTAGCTGGACCTCGCTGGATCGGACGGTCTGGATGGATTTCCCACCTCGCCCAGTGTACTCCTCATCAGAACTGTACGGTGCGCGTTCTTTCCCCAGCATTCCACTGCGTATCTCCACTAGCTCCAGATCTCCAGGACACAACGAGTCAGAACGGAAAGAGTGCGTTTTCCCTTTAAGAGATGGGGACTTATCCTGAGGGGTGTGCTCCTCCAATCGGATGAAGTACTCGCTGGCGAGTGAGGGGCTACGTGCACTTATCACCGGGACAACAGTGGGTGTGTCCAGAGATTGTCTGTGGGAGGGGTTGACCGTCGGGATGGGCTGGGGAGGAGGAAGGGGTTGGTAGCCCCGCCTCGCATGGGCCTTCTCCCAGAAGTATTCGAAATTTAACCCTTTGCTGGTCTCCGTGACTGTCAGGATGTCGTCGAGTTCTGTGGAGGATGGGGTGATGCAGTTCCCCACGGGGTCCAATAGAGGGTAGGAGTTCCCCCTGTCATCCCTCCCATACTCCCTCACTCTCTGTCGTTCACTCGCTGCAGCTTGGAAGGCAGGAGGACGGAGAGAATCCCACCGTCTCTCAAATGACTCCTCGCTCTCTCCTCTTCTTCCTCTCCCTTCCTCATACTCCTCGTCCTCATCCTCCTCGTCCTCTCCCACACTCCTTCGGGACATCCCTCGCTCAGCGGCCAAGAGGGAGGAGAGGAGGAGGAATACCTCAGCAATGGAGGGGCGTTGGGAAGGAGGGAGCCAGCAGGACTGCATGATCTCATACCTGGAAGAGGAAAGACAGGAAAGACAAACACAAAGAGAAGGGGGTTGGAAATGATGCAGACAATTACATTGATGGAAGCTACAATCTCTCTGCAATATTAAAGCTGATCTACCACCCCAAAATATAAAAATATAAAAATAGAAGGTTTGTGGGGATCGCATATATTAGCTTTGACCTTAATGATTTATTGACAAACGAGGCCTTTAGAGTAACACATCTAGACAAGTGATCGACCACTTTCTTCATCAAATACATACAGTACCAGTCAAAAGTTTGGACACACCTACTCATTCAAGGGTTTTTCTTTATTTTTACTATTTCCTACATTGTAGAATAATAGTGAAGACATCAAACTATTAAATAACACATATGGAATCATGTAGTAATGACCAAGAAGGAGAGTGATGGAGTGCTGCATCAGATGACCTGGCCTCCACAATCACCCGACCTCAACCCAATTGAGATGGTTTGGGATGAGTTGGACCGCAGAGTGAAGGAAAAGCAGCCAGCAAGTATTCAGCATATGTGGGAACTCCTTCAAAGCATTCCTCATGAAGCTGGTTGAGAGAATGCCAAGAGTGTGCAGAGCTGTCATCAAGGCAAAGGGTGACTACTTTGAATAATTTGTTTAACACTTTTTTGGTTACTACATGATTCCATATGTGTTATTTCATAGTTTTGATGTCTTCACTATTATTCTACAATGTAGAAAATAGTAAAAATAAAGAAAAACCCTTGAATGAGTAGGTGTGTCCAAACTTTTGACTGGTACTGTATATCATTAGAGCGCCAAAAGTCAAGAAACGGCCCACTGACCAGTAGTCAGCATGGGAGAGTTTGAGCCGTGGCTGGGCCAGGGTGATCTGCCTCTCTCTGATGACGAAGGTCAACACTTCCTCATCACTCAGGTGTCTGTGAGGCTGAGAACCAAACTCAAACAACTCCCAGATCACCACCCCCAGAGACCTGGGAGAGAAGGGAGAGAGGGGGGAGAGAGAGGAGAGAGAGGGGAGAGAGAGGGGTGAGAGAGGGGAAAGAGAGAGAGGGGAGAGAGATAGGAGAGAGAGGGGAGGGGAGATAAGTGGGAGAGAGAGGGGAGAGAAGTGGGAGAGAGAGGGGAGAGAGAGGGGAGAGAGTTAGAAAATAGGAGTAGAGAGAGAGAGTTGGAGGATAGAGAAATAATCAAATTAGATAAGAAATACAGAATACAGCTTATTGAAATATTCAGTTTATTTGTCTGTTTTAGAGCCAGGTTGTGTTATGGTACGTACCACAGGTTGCTGGTCTTGGTCTGGTCAGTGAAGATCAGAGATCCTCTGTACTCCTCCAGCAGCTCTGGGGCTATCCACCTCAGAGGAATCCACAGCTTGTCTGGTGTTAGGTAATAGTCATCCTACACAGATAAACACCAACACACAGAGGGATACATGGACTTGAAGATAAGCCATTAGGGACATGCAATACGTAAGGGATAATCAACGAGGGGTTATGCGTTCTCTGGAAAATAATGAACGACCTGGAAGTTGTGTTCCACGACACGCTAGCGGAGTGGAACTAACCTTCCACGGAGTTGCATTATTTTGCAGAGAACGAATAGAGCCCCGAGTTGATTATCCCTTTTATACCATGGCTATAATCTAAAATATTTACTGCTAGAATTTTTTTCATTTGCAGTTAGAAATGTGTTCAACATCAACTGAAGTAGCTAGCAAGTTCACTAGATAGAGACAGTAGTTGCCTTGGTAACCAAACAAACAGACTTTCTAGTTTTGCTAACCAAATTTGAGTCCTAGCTTGCTTTTATGAAAATCTAATGCAACAATACCAATAATGTTTTCAATTCGCTTTTGCTTTCAAAAGCAGCTCAAGCATAGAACATGTAAGAACTATAGCCAATTAATTATACCGTGCAAATATACTGTGCATTATAGAGAAATAATGCACACTCTAGAATGCCCTTCAAGCCAATTAGAAACGAGTATTCAACAATAACATGGTATAATTAAGCAATAAGGCCCGAGGGGGTGTGGTATATGGCCAATATACCACGGCTAAGGGCTGTTCTGGATACAGCCATTATCCATATACCACAAATCCCCAAGGTGCCTTATTGCTATTATAAACTGATTACCAACGTAATTAGAGCAGTAAAAACAAATGTTTTGTCATACCTGTGGTATACGATCTGATATACCCGGTCTGTCAGCCAATCAGCATTCAGGGCTCGAACCACCCAGTTTATAATGTGGTATAACTAGTCTACAGATTGTGGTGGTTCAAGCAAAGTACATGGGTAAGCGTGCATGCATGTGCACACACACACACACACACACACACACACACACACACATACCTTGTAGTGGTTGTGCGACAGCCCATAGTCTCCGATTCTGACAGTGAGATCAGAGGTAAGGAGACAGTTCCTCAAAGCCAGATCACTGGAGAGAGAAAACAATCATAATCCATGTATTATCAATCACTCAATTGCCAATCAATCAATCAATCACTGGAGCTATTGGAACCCCACTGGAGCCAGATGGAGCCAGGATATGACCTCACAGACCTGTGGATGTAGTTATTCTCGTGGAGGTGCAGCAGGCCTGAGGTGATCTCAAACGCCATCCTCTGCAGGGTCAGCATCTCCCGGGTCAGAAGGTCAGGGGTCATCCCATCTGACTTCCTCTGGGCTCTCAGGTACCTCTTCAGGTCGCCCTGGTAACATATCACAAATATAATTCATTTATTACAAGATCAATGAGTATTACCAATATCATGTACAGTATGTGATCCTTAAACCAATCAGAAGAACAATTAACATAGTTTATGACTATGACCGGACATATCGAGCTATATATCATATCGAGCTATATATAAGGGCGGCAGGTAGCTTAGTGGTTAAGAGCATTGTGCCAGTAACCGAAAGGTTGCTGGTTCTAATCCCCGAGCCGACTAGGTGAAAAATCTGTCGATGTGCCCTTGAGCAAGGCACTTAACCCTAATTGCTCCTGTAAGTCGCTCTGGATAAGAGCGTCTGCTAAATTACCAATTATTTTATATTATTTATTATATATCAAGTATATTTGTACATTTATGCTGGAAAAATACCCTCTCCTAAGTGTTTTCCTGAACCTGGATGTCCTCAAAAGCAGAAGGGGAATTGGTAATGAGTTAATATCATTATAGAGAGAGAGGTTGTACTGGTGGTAGGACAGGAGAATAAGATACTTAAAATGATAAAGGGATATGTGTTTCAATGTACAGAGGATTTATTGCATATGTTCTTCTGGTAAAGGGCTGCGGTATTGTTTTACTGCCCTCCCTGGTCGTTAATTGATCTGTTTGAGTCATTGATTGGCCAGAGAGTCCAATCACTTGGGATTTCAGGTCTCAATCAGTCTTTGATTAAAGAGCAAGAATGAAAGCAAACAAACAGAGGCAGCAGGTGTTGAGTATTATGGCTGGGATAACATTATACTACAAAAGGCATATCTAAGTGTGAAACGTCACCAAGTATTTACATGGTTATTTGATGGGGAAAAAGAAAACTAACCAAACATATGTTTCCATGTACGGAAGCTATAGTCTGGTGTTTGTCACTTAATTGATCCATTTGAATCATTTATTGACCAGTCACCAGACAGTCCAATCAGCTGGTTGCTCAGGTATCAATCAGTCTCTGATTGAAACACAATGAGGAGACCAAACAATCCTAGAGGAATGGAGTAAATGTATCCGTTCCAAAACAAAATGGCCTCTCTTTGGATCTCCTCTACAGTGGGCCCTCCTCTTCTTCTCCATCCCATAATAGTAGTAATAACAACATGGCCCTCACCAACTGACAGAACTCCATGACCAGCAGGAAGGGAATGCTCTCGCTGCATTGGCCCAAACACTGAAGGATGTTGGGATGTTGGAGACTCCTGAAGGCAAGAAAATAGAGAGGGAGAGAGAGGGGGGAGAGAGAGAGGGGAGAGAGAGAAAGATTATGAAACCGAGAGAGGCAATGCAGCAGAGGATATGCAGTTAAAGTGAGCGAGGGAAGAGCAGAGAGGGGGATAACATCTGGGCGCATTTGTTTGTGTGTGTTTACTTAGGTGGGTGTGTTAGTGAGAAAGTGGAGAGGACGAAAGAAAACAGACAGAGCTAGAGAGAGGAGGAGTGAGAGAGAAAGATGAAAGAGAAACATGTGTTTCCATATGTGACAGAGAAAGAGGCAACTGTAAGTGTGTATGAGAGTGTCATTGTAATCTAAGTTGAGCATAATAAATAGGTCAGACCAGTAGTCACCCACCAACATCCGTCACTCCAAGTTACAGTTCTAACATTGCAACACTTGTATGCAGCATGCAGTCTCTAACTACCAGCATCTCAATATGACACACAACAATTAAAACACATCTACTGATGTGACTTGGTCCATGTAGATGTTTTTTCAAACAGCACCAAATCAATCAGAGTGATATACAGGTTGGGAGTTAACTGTGAAGTTACTGTGATTTATATACACTGAGTGTACAAAACATTAGGAACACCTGCTCTTTCCATGACATAGACTGACCAGGTGAATCCAGGTTAAAGCTATGATCCCTTATTGATGTCACTTGTTAAATCCACTTCAATCAGTGTAGATGAAGGGGAGGAGACAGGTTAAATAAGGATTTTTAAGCCTTGAGACATGGATTGTGTATGTGTGCCATTCAGAGGGTGAATGGGCAAGACAAAGGATGTAAGTGCCTTTGAACGGGGTATGGTAGTAGGTGCCAGGTGCACCGGTTTGAGTGTGTCAAGAACTGCAACGTTGCTGGGTTTTTCACGCTCAACAGTTTCCTGTGTGTACCAAGAATGGTCCACCACCCAGAGGACATCCAGTCAACTTGACACAACTGTGGGCAAGCATTGGAGTCAACATGGCCCAGCATCCCTGTGGAACGCTTGCGACACCTTGTAGAGTCCATTCCCCGACTTGAGGCTGTTCTGAGGGCAAAAGGGGGTGCAACTCAATATTAGGTAGGTGTTCCTAATGTTTTGTACACTCAGGAAACCACAAAAACAAATAACTTAAATAAAAGTGTCTGATGACACAAAATGGCAGTTTCTCTGACCTGTATGGCTCAGACTCAGCCAAGAACTTCCTCTGCTCCAGAGGGCTGGCACTGACCCGTAACTCCTTCACCACGGCCTGGGAGGAGCTGCAGTCACACAGCACCTCCGCTAGGATCACCTGAGGGAGGGAGGAAGGAGGGAGGGAGGGAGGGAGGGAGGGAAGGAAGGAAGGAAGGAAGGAAGGAAGGAAGGAAGGAAGGAAGGAAGGAAGGAAGGAAGGAAGGAAGGAAGGAAGGAGGAAGGAAGGAAGGAAGGAAGGAAGGAAGGAAGGAAGGAAGGAAGGAAGGAAGGAAGGAAGGAAGGAAGGAAGGAGGAGAGAGAGGAGGAAGGAGAGGAGAGGAGAGAGAGAGAGAGAGAGAGAGAGAGAGAGAGAGAGAGAGAGAGAGAGAGGAGAAGAGAGGGAGGGAGGAGAAGGAGGAAGAGAGAAGAGAGAGATGGGAAGAGGGGAGAGAGAAGAGAGAGAGGAGGAGGAGAGAGAGGAGTGGAAAGAGAGAGAGGAAGGGGGAGAGAGATGGAAGGAGAAAGAGAGATGTGGGACGGGGGAGAGGAGGGAAAGAGAGGAGAAGGAAGGAGAGCGAGGGAGAGAGAGAGAGGGAGAGGGAGAGAGAGGGGGGGGGGGGGGGGGATCAGAAATATAGTGGTGTAGGAAGAAAGATATAACTGATGAGAACTGGTAGGAAGCCAACATTAGATTTACTGAGAAGCTGTTAAAAGGATGTGTCTTTTAGAGGAAACATGGGGTTGAGAGACATTTGGAAGAACTGCCAGATCCAGCTACCACCATTACATGATGACGTCACAACTGAGGGTGGAGGTAGGGATGGTGATCTCACCTTTCCAAACCAGCCATTTCCTATTTCCTGAAGGTAGTTGAGAGTGTGCCTACGGAAGTTCTTCGACTTAGAGTCTTTAGAGACAGAATAGAGAGGAGATGGAAAGAGAAAGACACATTATTTGGGGCTTTCTGATATTCATCATGCTCGTAATATTAATGTGTTATTTACTGCCATCAGCTCCAGCTACAGAGAGTGGGCCTTAGTTACCTGAGCCATCCTGCAGGGCAGGGCAGTTAGCCCTGTCCCTGAGTGGGAGGGTGTAGACCTCCGGGAGGGAGGGGCAAGAAGACAGACTGTCCTCCTGGACGGGGCTAGAACCCCCAGAACACTCCTCCCCCTCTGCATTGTCAAACTCCTGATTGGACAGGAAAGAACAGAGGAAGCGTGGAAGCTTTAGAGATATTGTAAGTTTGAAAAGCAGTAATCACCAAGCCTGGTCCCAGGAGATACAGGGTTTACAGGTTTTTGTTCCAGCCCAGCACCAACACACCTGATTCAGTTTATCAAACTCTTGCTGATTACTGTAGTTGATTAGTTGAATCAGGTGTGTTGGTTCTGGCCTGTCCTGGAACAAAAGCCTACACACCCAAAGCTCTCCAGGATGAGGGTTGGTGACCGCTTTTCTAGTGGGTGTGTGTCAATAGTCTAAAGTGGTTTACGTTTCTAAAGAAATTGGGCAAGTGTAAACAAATAACTGGTGGGAAGACACCATATTACTTTCCCCTTGTTGCCTGTGTTTTCACATCAGTTTAGATGAAGGAGGGGAGCGACTTTAGATAATTGAGATGCACCCAGTGTGCTGGCTGAAAAGAAATACCTATCTGGATTTATAATGAGGACACCTTTATAGTCCCTTTTTAAATCTATTAAATGTAAACAGACCCTAAGCTTTCTGGCTCATGCAACATCTGTAATACTTGTGGTAAAATGTGGTGCCGCACATGCAGCCAAAGAACCAATGAACCATCTAAAGATCACACATTCAAAGACAATAGATCCATAAAGGGTTTGAATGACGGGGATGCCCACTGTCCCTGTGGTGCTGGGCCCTTCCATGACAAATTAGGACATTCCCATACGCTATAACAATGTTACAGCCCTCAATGTTTACGGTTTCCCTAAGGGTGTGATATGAACCCTATATCCATCGATCTACACAACATGCATGCAAGACAGTGCAACACAATAGACAAGACGTGTGAATAAGTCTCTTACATGATGGAGACTTACATTGAATCCCACTCCTCCCTTCTTACAGCACAGACAGGTGAGGAGCAGTAAAACAAAGGAGACGAGCCCCGAGCAAGAGATGAGAATGATGACGTAGGGCGGAGAAGAGAGAGACGCAGCCCTGGATTGAGAGACTGAGATATGGCAGGAGAGAAAAGGAGCAGAGGAAAAGGTTAATACGGTTAATTGGTCAGATAATACTTCCTGAAGGAAACACACAGTTGTTAGGTTGGAGTGCTGGTGAGTGGATGAGTGAGTGGGGGAAAGAGAGGCTTCAGAGAATTGGGTTGAAAAGGGTCAAAGTCATTGTTACATATTGAGATTGAGGAGGAAAACCATTGGAATTGTTTCAATCGAGTTAAGTTTGAGACAAAGCGGAGGATCCCCAATGAACAACTGTCATTGGGGTTTTGGGAGAAGCAGGAAAAGGAAATTAACTTTGGAGGAAAGTCAGGAAACCATCTTCGGAATCAATAAAAGAGAGGAAAGATCGGAATTCAAGTTAAAATCAGGGAAGTCTACCATTCCGGTTAGGAAAGAAGGGGGAGGAGGGAGGGGGTACCAAAAAACAACATTCCTTCCAGGAAACACAGTTGAAAAGAAGGGAGGGGTGGCGTTGTCATTTTGGGGAAATTGATACCGGGGCCAGGGTTGGAAAATTGGAAAATAATCACTCAAATCAGGGAGGTAGGCTACCTAGGTGAGAAGGAGGAGGTTGGGGCGTTTTTTAGTTTTTTTTTGTACCTCAACTTGGCCGTTTGTGAGGAGCGAACCATCTGTGAAAAAGAGAAGGGGGAGGGCAGGGTGGTTAAAAACCCTTCACAACAGTGAACTACTTACTTGTTTGTTGTACCTTTAAAGTTTAAACCCTCAAATCAAAACCAGCATCGTTACAATTAAAAACGTAACAGAAATTATTGAGAAATATGCATATTTCTAGATGAACTTGTTGCCAATATTATTTGTTTTTCCCCATCTACAATTTTACAAAAACACTTCTCAAACTCCCAAAGGTAAACCTCTGAGTACACGTACTTGTCAATACACTTGCAGGTCAAGTGTCAATCCAGAACAGTACTTATGAATATCAACCACAATTTGAGCATTTTCAGTGTCATTGGTACCTGAAAACACAAGTACCAGAACTACTCTGTTTTCCCCTCATCATCCTATTCGATCATGCCCCGTATTCGTCACTACTTCTAGATATTGACTCACTATTACGACACAGTAATGAATAATGCAAAACCAAATGTACGTCTCCCCATCCATTTTATGAGATCATTGATTCCTGAAAGCATGGCGTGAAGATGCATCAACAGTCCAATAATAGTCAAAACAAAAGGCTTTAATTGATGTTTACCCTGTTGGTAGATCAATGTGTAAGCCTAACTGTGATTAACAATTTTGGCACATCCTCTCCTCTGCCTCTCACTCTAGAGAGTACACAAATCTTACAGGGATGTCCAATAACACACTGAAAGGGAATCCAATCACAAATAGGCTTTTCTGATCAATGGAATATTTTCATGAGGTCATTCATGAGTGGGAAATGCAAGTTACCCTAAAAAATGCATTTATGAAGCGCTTTGACCACTGCTTTATAAATAACATGTTTGAACATTATAATTAGCATTAAGGATGTGTTCAGCTCATAAATTATATGTTGTATGATTCCATCCTCCAATGGCTGTTTTCTGAGAAAAACCCTCAGACCTCTATGAAGGCCTAAAAACATCATGGTCTATGTTATTCTAACAAATTCAAGAGTGACATGTAAAGTATAAGTCAGAAAAGCTGCTAAAAGCCATGAGTATGAATTTTAGAGAAAGATTCATTCATTATTGGCTCATCATAAACGTGTAATAATTTCCTTGACTTATGTACTGGACTGCAGGTTATGCAAGCCTATGGCCTGGTGGTAGAATTACATTGGAAACTGTTAAAATAGGAAAAACATGTTGGCCTATATGAAATTATTTTACATGAGTCTATGTAGAACACAATAATATTTTATGTAGCCTACCCATCGGCAGTATAGGTGCACAATTCCTGGGTAATTCTATTCTTCTATCCCTAGACAGCTGTCCAGACAGACACTGCATATAAATAGGTACACATAGCCGGGGCCTATTCCACCAGCTCCAGTGAATAGCTCTTATCAAAACAATACACCAGAACACCATGACTGCAAACTACAATACACAAACAAAACACTCTGCGATGCCTAATAAAAGGGGGACAAAATAAAACGGATCTTGTGGATTTCAAATGGAAATTCAAAGATGCTAATTTTAATCATTAAACCCAAGTGGTCTTATATAGGTTTGATATACACATGAATGATACAGTGGCGATTAATTTAATATTCATTGGTCGAATTCCCGTTTTCACATGCCATCGATGCTATTGATAAATATCACCGAAATAGGGTCGCAGATCCTACCGAGTTCTCCAGGCTACTTGATGATAATAATGTGGCCATTGTCTTTTTGACTTCATCCCAGTGTTATAAAGGCATATAGCCTACCATAGCCTAATCATATCAGCCAAGAAATATAAAATATTTCGTATTATTGTTATGAGGCTGTGTCAGTGTGGTTCGGCCGTAATATTTCCCAATACCTATTTATAACCCTCTCATCTATCCCCTCTCCTACCCCCCTCGCTTCTTTCTCCCAGCGTCAATATCATTCCATCCCTCCGACACCACTCACCTTCTCTCTGCGGGGCTCCAAGGGCTCTCTCCGGGTTCAAGTACGACAACATCCCCGCCAGCACTATCACCCAGCAGTGTCGTCGCATCGTCGCGGGATCCACCACGGCACAATCATTCGAGCGATGCTTTCGGTCTTCTCCTTCTCTCCGCTACCGTCTCCTGGTCTGGCGCTGTCTTCCCCCGCTAATAAAGAACGTCTCCTTGTTGTTGTGTTCCCCTCTTCCCCTCCTCCGTTTGATCCCCCTCTCCTAATCTGCAACTAAACACCGTGTAAGAGACGCTCTTTTGTGCATCCCGTCCTGCCAACCCAACCCATCGCATATCAAATCCAGAACCGTTACATTAGTGGTCTCTCGACAAAAACGGCGACGAAAACAACAAATAACCCCAATGAGGTCAAACCATCCGCTATTTTTCCCGTTTCGGCTCTTTCCCCTCCGACACCAGTGTGAGGGCGACTGTAGTATTTTTCTCCCGTTAAACTTAGGCTACGTCAGACAAAACTGAGCTTGCATTATCATGGTTCGCCCGTGGTTTCATGCGAGTGCGTCGGTCTCGCTTCTACCTCTGCTATCTTGGACCCGATTTATTTTGCGCTGCTGTGCGTCTATGTATGTATGCACCTGCTAGACAATTTAATTTATTATACTGGCGCAACTCTGTTTTGTATTACAATCTCTTGTAGTTAAATGTTTAGGGTTAATAATTTGGCTGGTGCATGGATATGGGGTATGTATAAAATAACCAAAATAACTGAGCATTCAGGATTTTGTTATTTGACAGGCCTAACATTTTTATTGAATTAAATGAAATGGAAAATGCCCAATAATAGTTGGGCCAACCACACTAAACTCTGTCTACATCCGATAGTTAAATAGAACAGATGCCTGTACAAAAACCTCTCAAAAATGGCACATGCTATTATCAGAAACAAAATAGACTTGACAGACTTGAATTGACACAATTACATTTGTGACACAATGTTGCTATCAATAGTAAAACATCTAACACACTCAAAATTGAACAGTGGTATTGTGTTGTGGAGCTAAATGATTAAAAATAAAACAAAATAATGTATGCACTCACTAACTGTAAGTCGCTCTGGATAAGAGCGTCTGCTAAATTACTAAAATGTAAATGTATTGTCTCACACTTGAGCAGGGTGCCAAACAGACACCAACACTCCACTCAGCTGTCTCAAATCTCTTGACTGGTTCCCTTTCTTTTTCTACCTCATCAGCAATAATATTGATTATTCAATGACAACAATCATCAATAAGTCCACTTAGGATCCTCAGGATAGCCTAGATGTAAAATAAATAAACAATGTGGCATTTTGAGCAATTTTTGTACACATCTTCACAAGTTCAACAACCTACAGTATGTGTCTACATACATAACTCCTCCATGTTACTGCAAGAATAAGCTAAAAGCACTGGCTCACATTTCACAACAATACAACTGAATAACCTTCCAGGCTCTCTGGTCCTTGTCGAAGTCTTCTGTGTCTTTCACATACTAATAAATGTATCTTGAATGCCTCAATGTTCTGTGTCTGTTGCCAAAACAATGAGACTGCATGATGTATGACTTCAAAAGATGCCGTCTCTCCAGGCATCTCTGTCTTTCCTCTGCCTCTTGCGGGCCAGCTCTGGGAAATAAGCGCTGTTGTACGGCATTTCCCTCTCCTCTGTCTCCCTTGGTCGCTCCTTCTCTTTTCCTGTTCCGTTCTTCTGGTCCAGCAGGGCCTGGGTCCTCCTCTTTTCCTCCGCCTCTCTCTGCAGTCGCTCTGCTCGCAACCTTTCAATAGAGCTAGGAAAGAGAGAGGAGGTGGTTACCATCAACCATGCATGTTTATCCAGAGGCTCAGTACACTTTGTTGTGCACTTGTCCACTTGGCTCAGTGTACTTGGTCTCTTGGTTATGGATTCAAGTGGAGTGGACACTTTCAAGGGGCTTACTCTTAAAGCGGCAATCCACTGTTTCTGTAAAAAGCTCAGGGATGGGGCTGGAGAAATGTAACCACTCAAATTCATAGACAGAGCTATGGATGAAAGGACTGACCATCCATGAAATCAAAATGATAGTTTTAACCATGTTTTAAGGCGATGTAGTATGTTTACATTTACTTGGTTTACAAACATTGGAGTATAAAACAAGCTTATAGTTTGAGTTCTGATGCGGTATGACAGTTAAACTAAACTAATGAGTCATTTATAAGTTATATTCTTCAAGAATGAATGGGTACACATCATTAATTAATAATTCCAAAAATATATGTAGCAACTGCTGATTGCCCCTTTAGGTCAAAGCTAATTGGTTTTATGATTGATCAAAGAAACACAAACACCCCCAGACATACAGATAAGAAGACACCTAGTCTTGATAAAGACTCAAACTTCTCACCTTTCTCCACCACTGCTTCTCCTCTCCCCTCTATCCCTCTTCTCCTTCTTCTTACTCCTACGTTCTTTTCTATCCTTCACCGCCAGTGCTTTCTTCATCTCTTTCAAGGGGTCCAGCATGTCTTTCAGTCGTCTGTCTCTCTTCTCCTTCTCCTCTTGACTGAGTGGCAGTCTCTTTCCTTTGTTGTCTTTCTCTTTCTCCTTCTCTTTCTTCTTTCCTTCGTCTTTCTCTTCTTCTTTTTCCCGGCCTGTTTTCATGTACCATGGAGTTACCTCTGTCCCAGGTTGGGGGCCTAAGGACACTAGCAGACCAATAGCACGCTCCTCACGCTCCTACAACAGAAACACCATAGCATTAGAATAAGTTAAATATTCTAATTTCAAGTAATGATCTGTGGTGGGAGGAATCAAGACCAGCGACCATCCCGGGTGTACTATTTGGAAAGTTCAATACATTTATTCACATCTCATTCTTTGATCCTTCCATTGATGTGATAAGCATCAGTCCATTAAAACTGTTCAATAATCTCCCATATTGGCACAGAACACTATGATATTTAGAATTCTAATTTGCATTCTCAATTGCCAACATGGCACCCAATTAAATTTAAAATCTTAAACTGAATTGGCCGATCTCTGTTTAGAAATGGCCCTGGACTAAATTAACCAGCCACTGTCATTGGCTGGCTAGATCCACTAGAGAAAGGTAAACACTGTTAGGTAGAGAGGGATGCAAAAACCAGAAGCTATGTGCACAAAGAAACTTGATTTCAACACAGGTGAAGCGGAAAAAGCACAACAGAATGACAGCAAGGTCACCTTTTCATCTTTCTTGTCTTTGAGGTACTCTGCATTTCCTTTCTTCTCAGACGACTCCTCCAGAGGAAATAGATTGAGGTGTTCCACCACTCCTCCACTCCCCTCCCCTCCTCTCTCACCTCCTCTCTCACCTCCCTCTCCTTCATTCTTCCATCTTCCAGACTGTTGAAGGGCAGCTCGCGACTTCTGTCTCAGGTGCTCTGTTCGCGCCTACAGCAAAGAGATTACTTACCTACATAACATTCAATGGCAATAGTGAAGTACATATACACATTTGTATGCACTTTTATGACTTGAAACTATTTTAACAATGCCTCTTACAGCACTTCTCTTTAAAAAATTGCACCGGTCATACATCATAACATTCCTGTATCACACAAAGTTTGGTTGTCACTTCAGACCATGCTAAATCAATTATGAGGAATGTATCAATTTGCAATTTGGGGATGGGGGGGTGTGGAGGCAACGTTGCTATGGTTACCTCCTGCTCTGCTCGCTCCACACGGCGTTGGACCTCGCGCTCCTCTTCTGCGGCTTGTGCCTCGTCCCGTTGTCCTTGTTGCGAACATGCCAGCTCTTTTTAGGTAGAATATTCATTTTTCTCCTGAAGTCGAGTGTTTATGTTTTGACCAGGGCTTGTACAGTTAAACAGAAATCTGTCAAAACAAAGTAACATGCACTGACTTCTGTTGTTTGCGATTCAGTCAGTCTAAGTCTGTACTGTAACTCAAGTTTGCTAGCTAGCTAACGTTAGCTAGTCTTAACCTATTTCCTCTCAAATTTTAAACATTTTAACAGCTATTTGAATCACAGATATTTAATTCTGACGCTGGGTTTTGTACAGCTGTTACCGCATGAATAAAATATTTGCAGAAAACCGAAGAAAATATATTTTAAACACATCTGAAAGGTAAACAAGCAACCCAAAAGATCTTCAACCACAACCGGATACACACACCCGAAAATGTTATCAACGTCATCACGTCTACGTAAGTAAATCAATTTTGTAGACGTTCTCTCACAGGTTTTTTTCTCGAGACTGGAAAAAAATGTCGGATGCGGACGATGAAGTGGATTATGAATCCAATGGCGGTAGAATCAAGGAGAATTGTCCAAATGAATGGAAAACGGAGCAAAGTAGTGTACAGTGATGAGAATGTCCCTTCGTATCTAGTAGGAGTACGGTTTGTTAATAAGGAGCAGATTACCAATCTTGAAGAAACCATTTGAGATATCCAAACTGGTGGAGAGAGTGCTGGGTAAAGTGAATGCTGTGAGGATCACGAGAGGCGGGCTTGTTTTAATTTTTTTGTGCTTCTGCGGATCAGAAGGAACGTGAATAGCGTCTAACCCCATTTGATACGTTTGATGTGTCGTGTGTGTCTCTTCGGAACAGGGCACCCCTCAAGGGGGTTCTATCTGGCGTCTCGTGGGAAGTCGATTTGAGATGAAAAATATTCCTAGAGTGATTGATGCACGTCGGATGAATCGTGAAGTGAAGAGTCTATCTGTTCTTTTGTTTTTTGATATGGAGTCTCTCCCTACTCAAGTGCAGTTGGGGTATAAAAACGACAGTCAGAGCATTTATCCCAAGACATTTACATTTTAGTCATTTAGCAGACGCTCTTATCCAGAGCAACTTACAGTTAGTGAATGCATACATGTATTTTTTTTCTTCATACTGGACCCCCGTGGGAAACGAACCCACATCCCTGCCGGCCAAACCCTCCCCTACCTTGGACGACGCTGGACCAATTGTGCGCCGCCCATGGGTCTCCCGGTCGCGGCCGGCTGCGACAGAGCATGGACATGAACCAGGATCTCTAGTGGCACAGCTAGCACTGCGATGTAGTGCCTTAAACCATTGCGCCACTCGGGAGTCAGACAATGCAGTGTGATCATTGTGAAGCTTTTGGTAATGTTTTAAGTGTTTGGAGAAGCCGAGATGTCCAAGTTGTGGAAAAGATGTGTCATGTGTTTTAAAAGTGAGGAAAATGTGACATGTTGCAATTGTGGTGGGAACCATGAAGCTACATCTTTTGATTGCCCGACAAGGGTGGAAGAGAATGAGGTGGCCAAAGTCAGGGCTGTCCAGAACATTTCATATGCAGCAGCTGTTAAAAGGGTTGAGGGTTTGAATGCTGCTCCTCAAGATGGCGTAGTAGTGCAGTCCTGTTTTTGTCGTGTGTCTGTAAATAGCCTGTAAATACCCTGTTTTTTTGTATTTTTCGTACATATTTTCCTATCAGACTTTTCATCCTTCTACAAAATATACTTTCCTGCAACCCGCCTCACTCAATGTGGAACGGATTCTATTATTGACTTAACTTTTATCTAGAATCTCCAGTTGAAACTAGCTAGCCAGCTAACTAGCTACTTGTTATTAGCCACAGTTAGCGGTATTTCACCCAGAACATTGGATTTTTCTGCGGGAATAATTTAATCACTGGACATTAATCACCGGATCGCAACTAGCTAGCCGCAACCGAATGAATGTTGCTGTCTGGCTAATCACCACTGCCCCCGATGCAAGCACCAGTTAGCCTTGAGCTAGCCTAGAGCCAGGCTCATATCTACCTCTAGGTCTACCGGACGGGAGTAGCCAGCTAACTAGCTACTTGCTATCAGCTACCGTTAGCGGTTTTTCACCATTGTCCGTGGCCTGCACCACCCACCAGCCAGCTCTAGTCTGGACTATTATTCAGCCAGTCTGCACTGTCTGCACAGCGCGTTATCGACCCAGAACATATCAGTTTTTCTGCCGGAATCACTGAATCACTGGACCTTTAACTCCGGATTCACCGCTACCAGCTAGCTGCAACAAAATGGACATTGTGGTCTGGCTAATCATCCTGAGCTAGGCCCATCTCCCGGCTATCTACCTCTCTGTCAACCGGACGGGACCACCTAGTGTTGACACGGAGCCCCGCTGATCCTACACGACTGGTCTGCCGACGAAATCGTCTGATGTGGTTACAACAGGCTTCCCGTTACGACGTCGACCACGAAGATTCCATCTGCTAGCCCCGGCCCGCTAGCACACGCTAGCCATGGCCTCTTGCTCGCTAGTGCTTTAGCAGCCCCCGAACTACCTCTGAACTATCCTATTGCTGTTCACCGGACCTTATGATAACTCAGCTATACAGCTGATGTCTGCTGGACTGTTCCTTTTTACGGTACCGCATCCTGTTTATGTTTAGCCTCAGCCCAAACTGTGTCGTCATTACCAGCTGTTGTCTTAGCTCTCTCAAATTACACCTGTGATTGCTTTATGCCTATCTCCCATCTCAATATGGTTAGCTTATTGTTGTTTCGGTTATTTCTAATTGTACTATTTCACTGTAGATCCCCCAGCCCAGCTAAACCTGCCTTAGATAGCTCCTTTGTCCCACCCCCCATACATGCGGAGACCGACACAATTGGTGCCTCCAGTGATGCTATCTCTTTCATTGTTACCCAACGCTTAGGTTTACTTCCACTTTACTCATATCCTTCCATATCGCTGTCTGTACATAATGCCCTGAATCTTTTCTACAACGCCCGGAAATCTGTCCCCTTTATTCTATGTACCCAACGCACTAGAAGACCAGGGCCCGTATCCTTAAAGATTCTGAGAATCCTCTCAGAGAGCTCCTAACTTAACCTAAAAATTCCTTGCCAGGAGTTTTAGCTTAGAAGTGATTCCAGAACATTTTCAGTGAACTCTGAGCCAGGAATGGATGAAAAATCCTATCTTAGTGAGGAGGTGTGGTTGACCCCGTTGCTAGGTATGAGTCATCATTTCAAAAGCCGTGATGGTTGATCCTACAAGTTGATGAAAAATGAACTTTTGGTGATAATGAGCAAAGGATGTACCCTCAAATCAATAAACATAATTATACACTCTAATCTTATGCAGACTATAATTGTAAATAATATTTCACATTCAAGAAAATATCTGGAAAATGAATAGTAAGCTGTAGGGGTTATAGCCTAACATTAGAATCTAAAATATGTGAAAACTTAAGCTCATTACACCCTGTTCAAATAATGATTTGTGTCTCATTTGCTCATATTAATATCCTAGCTGGCATATTTTGTACTTTCACTTCCATATGGACCCCATTGAAAACAAGATGGCCTATCTCAAGGGGCTGTCCTTAATGAAGTAGAAATTGCAACGTTACAACTCAGTGTGAACTTAACGAGGGTAACACAGCTCAGCTTTTAACAATGTCTGTGATTGCTGGCTGGTCTATTTATGAAGGCTTGTTAACAAATATCCTACAAACACAGAAAATGGAGAAAAAAAGGAATCGCAAGCCGAACTGGACTGAGGAGCAAGGTTTGTTGCTGGCCCAGTTGGTGAACGAACATAAAGGTATGTTACGAGGAAAATTTGGCCCAACTGTCACTAGCCAAGGCAAGAGGCGCGCCTGGGACACAATATCCCAAACAATCAATGCCTCTTTTCCACTGGTGGTGCGGACAGGCGACGATTGTGAGAAAAGGTGGTATGTGCTGCAGTCCAAGGCAAAAGATGAGATTGCAGCACACAAGCGGGAATCCTCACTCACAGGTGAGCAAAATACTATGGCCTACCACATAATCTGGCAATTTGCTCCTGCTGGCAAAGTTAATTTACATGCCTAAGTACTGTGTTCATTGACTGTTTCTTTCTAGGGGGTGGACCACCTGCAAAGCGGCTGTCCCAGGTGGCCGACACTGTCTTTCAAGTCCTGGGACACTCTGAGGTCAGTGTCACCGGGCTGCCAACAGGCATTGACACGTCAATGATGCAGGCCCTTGAAATGCAGCAAAGGTAGGACACAGGGTTATTCATATCAACAGTGTTTATTCATTGCAGAAGCCATGTCATGTGTTATCCATGCTCATTGTATTAAATTAATTTAATCAAAACAATAATTAAACTAGGCCTATGTATTTCTGTAGCATGGAGCCATCACAAGAACCGGGCCCATCAAGTTTGCCGCCTGAACCATCTGCAGCTGCTACTCAGGATAGCCCGGCGGATCAAACACCATTCCCATCCGCAGCACCTGCTCCGTCAGCATCCCTGCAGGAGAGAAGATTGCAACTCACAATTGATGTTTGAACAACAAAAAAAAGTCCTTTCCCTTCAGGAGGAGTACTACCGCCTTAAAATTGAACACCTAAAAAATAAACCATTTAGAGATTGTGTTCTGTGTCTTGCATTTAACAGTTGCAGGTGATGTGCAGTAAAACTGTGGTAGTTCTTAATACCATCACAAGTTCTCAAATGACATGGGGCTACAGCTTGCCTGAAATGTAAATTTGTGAAGTTTGCCCTGTAAGGCAGTCCACTCTGGGCTAGGTTCCCCTGTGGAATGTGAATATCTTCTTCACCACCATCCTCATCGTTGTCTCCATCCTCATCCTCATCGCCATCCTCCAGAGGTTCTGCAATCTGTCTAACCTTGCAAATATTGTGTAATATTGCACAGGCTATGATGAGTTTGCTGACTTTTTCAGGCCTCAGCCGCACCTCTCCGTGGAGAACATGAAAGCGCCTCTTAAGCTGGCCTATGCCACGCTCCACCACCGCTTTTGTTGTCTTGTGGGCCCTACAATAGAATACAGACCTTTAATTATTTGATGGAAATATTGCACTACTTGGATGCTCTAACATATTGCTTGCATTTCATTTCCATGATTTTTGTATTGTTTGGCTTACCTGTTATAGTTTAGTTGGGGCCCTTGGCGTGGCTGGAGG